GGTTTGGTTAGGTTAGGTTAGGTTAGGTTAAGTTAGGTTATGTTTGGTTAGGTTAGGTTAAGTTAAGTTAGGTTATGTTTGGTTAGGTTAGGTTAGGTTAGGTTAACTTAAGTTAAGTTATGTTTGGTTAGGTTAGGTTAGGGTAGCACTCTGTTTTGTACATTGTGGCAAATCAAGAGAACGGGCTGCATAAACAGGGGGTTTGGTGGCTAGATTACCAAACCGTTGACGTTTGATGATAGACAAAGCATCCACTCCTCCTCACAACCAACCACTCCCACACTCATGATGATGAGCCACTCATGTTTGATGATGATGCAAAAATTATGAGAATAGTCAAGACAGATGAAGATCGACAGAGACTACAGGACGACCTGGACAAACTGGAGGAATGGTCTAGAAAATGGCTACTAAAGTTTAACTCAGGAAAGTGTAAAGTAATGAAATTAGGCGAAGGGAGCAGGAGGCTGAACACAAGGTACCATCTGGGCGGTGAAATCCTGCAAGAGTCAAATAGAGAGAAAGATCTGGGGATTGATATCACATCGAACCTGTCCCCAGAGGTCCACATCAAAAATATATCATCAGCGGCTAGATTGGCCAACATAAGAACTACCTTTAGAAACTTCTGTAAGGAATCGTTCAGGATCTTGTATACCACCTATGTCAAACCAATTCTGGAGTATGCAGCTCCAGCCTAGAGTCCATACCTAATTAAACACAAGACAACATTAGAGAAGTTTGAGAGGAATGCCACCAGACTAGTCCCAGAACTGAGAGGTATGAGCTACGAGAAAAGGTTACGGGAGCTAAACCTCACGTTCCTGGGAAAACAGAAGTGTAAGGGGAGACATGATAACCACCTACAAAATTATCAGGGGAATTGACAGGGTGGACAACGACAAACTCTTTAGCATGGGTGAAACACGAACAAGGGGACACAGGTGGAAACTTAGTACCCAAATGAGCCACAGATATATTAGAAAGATTTTTTCAGTGTCAGAGTAGTTAATAAATGGAATGCATTAGGCAGTGATGTGGTGGAGGCTGACTCCATACACAGTTTCAAGTGTAGATATGATAAAGCCCAGTAGGCTCAGGAATCTGTACAACAGTTGATTGACAGTCGAGAGGCGGGACCAAAAAGCTAAAGTTCAACCCCCGCAAGCACAACCAGGTGAGTACTCACCCACGACTCTCTTACCCCCCTCCCCCCTCATCCCTATGCCTAGCACCACTCCCTCTGGCAGTTCCGACCACTTACAAAAGGTGTGCCACTCTAAGAGACCGTCATGAACTTCAAGAAAGCAGTGCTAAAACTGAGAGACCTCTTATTACTCCAGTGACTCAGTCACGACACACGACACGTGGAGCGTGTGTGTGTGTGTGTGTATGTGTGTGTGTGTGTGTGTGTGTGTGTGTGTGTGTGTGTGTGTGTGTGTGTGTGTGTGTGTGTGTGTGTGTGTGTGTGTGTGTGTGTGTGTGTGTGAACCCCGCACTGAGAGCTAGGAGCAACTGAATGTTATGCCCTGCTCCAAACTGACTGACGTGAACAGCCTTCACCTATATACGGTGACACAGGTACATTACCCACAGTTTACTCACATGAAAGGATGGGTGAGAGTGAATGTTCAGCAGCGGCACGGGAGAGCCAGAGGGAGAGTGATGATGAGCTGAGTGCTGTGAGAGCAGAGACAAAGACACCAGTTTAAGGACAAAGAAAAGATCAAGACACTTTTAGTCAAGCGGAATATATAACCTTTTTATGTAAATTCTATGTCTTTCCTTATATAAAACTAGTCACCGCCTCCTGGTTTTATTATTTTTAGCAAAATCCTTTTTTTAGCAAAATCCTTTTTTTCTTCTTCTTCTCTAGGGCATAATATTGGACGTCTGAGGGTTAAGTAGTGGTCGCTTCTTCACTGGTAGAGTCAGCAACAATAACGATGACGTTGCTACGGTAACTGTGCCTCCAGGGACCATAATTGGCCTTGATGGAATGTAAACATTGTCGTGATTCTCTTCTCTTCGTTAGTTGTAAATACTGTGTGTTCGTAGTGGTTTCTCTTTGCTTTCCGTCCATTAGCAATTTATCGTCAAGATTTTTGTACAAATTTCGAATGCAAATTAGATTTCTGAAGGAGGTGATTAGAGGCGCGATGGTGGTAGTGGTGGTGCGGGGGGGGGGGCTGTTGTGGGAGTGGTTGCTGTTGGGGTGGTTATAGCTGTTGTGATACTGGTGTCAATTGTAGTGGTAGTGGTGATTGCTGTCATAATAGCGGACGCTATTTCGGTAAGAATAGTTGCTGGTCAATGTGTAGAAGGAAAGGAATGGTGCCCAACCACTTATGGACCGTCGGGGATTGAACGCCGACATGAATGAAGTGAGACCGTCCCTCTACCATCCAGTCCAAGTGCGAGGGAGAGGAGCTGTTCTGAATACCTTTCTGTTAGTCACCGGCAGGACGCGAACGGTGTCCAGAACACACTAAAGTTAGTCAACTCCATCTTTCACCCGCTGTGTGAGGCGGCCTCTTGGGGTCCCAGTGTGATGTTACTTGATAAAATGTTAATAAACTGTTAATATATAAGTTAACAAACCATGTCACACCCTGGTCACGGGTGCCTGCAGTCTCACACTACACAACCCAGTGTAGGCTCCTACTGAGTCACTCCTCACTAAATGTCTCACCTTAACCCCTAAACTGCGCACCTACTTAAATGTAATAAATCAACCTGTGATGATTAGAAATAGTTAACAAACCAAATAAAAATATTAGCATAGTGACAATATACATCGTAAGGGTTTAAACACCTTAAACACCAAACACCTTAAGCACCGTAAGGGTTTAAACCGTCAACAATCTGTTCACACTTGAGTGTGTCTGAATCAGTAGCATTAAACATGCTCCCATACGCTTATTGTAGTTTAATCCTCTTCTTGAGCGCTGCATACTCGCTTATCTATGTGTTTTATTCATATTCAATTTTTGTTTAAGTGTGGACACCATGCTGGTGCTGCACACTCAGGAGTTGGTGTTATGTAGGTTCAATATAGCTTTCTGAAGACCTATATGTGTAGATTCCTGAAGACTAACTTATGTGTATAATTGTGTGTGCGGGAGGTGTTTTTATGGAGTTAATTAAAAGAAACAGTTTATTAGTATATTATTTTATTACATAAAAAGGAAAATTATACGTTTTGTTACTAACATTTATTGTGCGTATTACACGCAGCTAACCAAACACGCGAGGACATAAGAATACAGGAAACTGTAGAAAGTCTCTCTTGGTCCAAACGTGGCAGCTCTTATTTATAAACACCCAAACTCACATATATATATATATATATATATATATATATATATATATATATATATATATATATATATATATATATATATATATATATATGCAAGTATAGGCTTATATATATATATATATATATATATATATATATATATATATATATATATATATATATATATATATATATATATATATATATATATATATATAAGCCTATACTTGCATAAACCACAAGTGAAGATTAACAATCTTTGGACAACACCCACCAGTGGGACTCGAACCCAGAAAGCACAACTACCTTCCAGTAGCTGCCATAACTAGTACGCTTTAACCCACTACACCATCACTTCTACACTACAACTTCTTTTGTAGGGTCTGATGGTGTAGTGGGTTAAAGCGTACTAGTTATGGCAGCTACTGGAAGGTAGTTGTGCTTTCTGGGTTCGAGTCCCACTGGTGGGTGTTGTCCAAAGATTGTTAATATATATATATATATATATATATATATATATATATATATATATATATATATATATATATATATATATATGTCGTACCTAGTAGCCAGAACGCACTTCTCAGCCTACTATGCAAGGCCCGATTTGCCTAATAAGCTAAGTTTTCATGAATTAATGTTTATTTGACTACCTAACCTACCTAACCTAACCTAACCTAACCTAACTTTTTCGGCTACCTAACCTAACCTATAAAGATAGGCTAGGTTAGGTTAGGTAGGGTTGGTTATGTTCGGTCATATATCTACGTTAATTTTAACTCCAATAAAAAAAAGTTGACCTCATACATAATGAAATGGGTAGCTCTATCATTTCATAAGAAAAAAATTAGAGAAAATATATTAATTCAGGAAAACTTGGCTTATTAGGCAAATCGGGCCTTGCGTAGTAGGCTGAGAAGTGCGTTCTGGCTACTAGGTACGACATATATATATATATATATATATATATATATATATATATATATATATATATATATATATATATATATATATATATATATATATATATATATATATATATGTGTGTGTGTGTGTGTGTATACTCACCTAATTGTACTTACCTAATTGTGCTTGCGGGGGTTGAGCTCTGGCTCTTTGGTCCTGCCTCTGAACCGTCAATCAACAGGTATACAGGTTCCTGAGCCTATTGGGCTCTATCATATCTACACTTGAAACTGTGTATGGAGTCAGCCTCCACCACATCACTTCGTAATGCATTCCATTTGTCAACCACTCTGACACTAAAAAAATTATTTCTAATATCTCTGTGGCTCATTTGGGCACTCAGTTTCCACCTGTGTCCCCTAGTGCGTGTGCCCCATGTGTTCAATAGCCTGTCTTTATCTACCCTATCAATTCACTTGAGAATCTTGAATGTGGTGATCATGTCCCCCCCTAACTCTTCTGTCTTCCAGCGAAGTGAGGTTTAATTCCCGTAGTCTCTCCTCGTAGCACATACCCCTCAGCTCGTTTACTAGTCTGGTGGCAAACCTTTGAACCTTTTCTAGTTTGGTCTTATCCTTGACTAGATATGGACTTTATGCTGGGGCTGCATACTCCAGGATTGGCCTGACATATGTGGTATACAAAGTTCTGAATGATTCCTTACGCAAATTTCTGAATGTGTGTGTGTGTGTGTGTGTCTGACTGACACTGAGCCTAATTGTTCAATAAATCCCTGAACTATATGTTTAACTGATCTCTAACCCTGTCTATGGAGGACAGAAGAAAATGTATATATGCTGGTTAGCATTGTAAATGTGTGGCCACGTTTGTGGTAGAAAATAATAATAAAAAAACTGAGCCTAACTGGCGTCTTAACAAATGAAGATAGACCTGAACAATAACAGGAGGCATCACAGCTCAGGATGGTTCCATGGATAGGTCGGAGGGTTGAGCCAGGGATAGGTGGCAGGATCGGGAATGGCGGCCTCGCAGATGTAACCTATTTTCTGAGTATCGTAAAACGAGGCGTTGAAACACTCCTGAATAACAATATGAAAGTCATTTGATCCGGCGGTGGAGGAGGTGAAGAGCGCACAGTCGACGGTGTCGCAAGTGAACGTCGTACCGTCGTAACCAGGGCACATTACCGTGACGTTGTCGTCCGTCCAGTTCATCTGCAGCGACCCCGGGGCTGTAGAAAATGGAAAGGTTAATCTTCCAGAATACAAAACATCGCCAAGGTATAGTTATCAGGAGAGAACACTAAGCCTGAATGGCTATACAGCACTTGGATGGGATATGAGGGATAGGGTGAAGGATTGATGCTCAGTCTATTTTTATTTGTACTCAACGCATTTTTTTCTTTTTACCCATTAGTTTTAAGCTTTAGTCAGTAGTGTTTTTTCCTGCCCGAAACGCTTTGCGTAATAGTGGCTTTAGGCATTGTATGTACTAGCTCCTATCTATAAAGCCAACAAACTTTGTAAAATCTCTTTATGTATGTACCTTTGCCTAAATAAAAATTATTATTATTATTATTATTATAGTCATTTAGGCTATCGGGAATTGAACACCGTCTCTGGATGATATTAGGCTTTCGCTCTGCCAAACAGTCCATGTGGGTGGTTCCAAGTGATAGCATGGCTTTTCAGGAAGCTCCTTTTCTAGCGGTGAAATATTCTGGGTTTAGGTGTATGCTACTGTAAAATATATTTCTTTATGCAGGCGAGGAGTCACAATAACGTGGCTGAAATATGTTGACCAAAACCACGTATTAGAAAGTGAAGGGACGACGACGTTTCGGTCCGTCCTGGACCATTATCAAGTCGATTGTGGAATAGTCCAGGACGGACCGAAACGTCATCGTCCCTTCACTTTCTAGTGTGTGGTCTGGTTAATATATTTCTTTATATACTAAAGTATGAGTAACTTCTCACATCTGTAAATTATATATTTGGCGAAAGCGATTAATATTAGCTTATGCTTCACGTTTAGAGAAATGTAGTATTATATTCAACTGTAAAACCAGACCCAAGAGAATATACCTGCAAAATGTTTATCTGAAAAAGATATTTATAGAGCGCTATAAAAGGTGATGTTCATTTGTTTGTCCGCCTGTTTATCCAAAATTGGAGGCCGGCCGCTTTTGGATAGCCTCACACGACTTTGCAGAATGACAGGTGAAGGGAGGGGAGCGTGTTTACTATTATTATTGGCGGGTCAGAGTCGGCCCTATTGCTCCTATGAAGAGGGGATCCGCTTCCACAATGAACCCATGAAATTATGTGGAGGGGCATAAGGCTGCGAACACTTTGTATGCTTTCCCATTCGCGTTCCAAAATAATTTCGAACGTGAATATAAAACGTTCCAAATTATTTCCAACCAACAAATCAGTAATTCTGCTGAAATGAATAACAATAGTGAAGAAAATATATCAACTATACTCACCTGCGGTGCTGTTCAAGTTCCAACCCGTCCAGACATAGTGTGAGTCATTGGTATCCCGTTCACCTAATTCTAAGATGGGCAGCCACATAGCCTCATAGGCCATGTTGATGTAGACGCCCTTCATCCACTCATACTCTGCTTCCGTCCGGGGCACCAGTAACTCCCCCCATAAGTTCTTGCACTTCCATTGGGCAATAGACCATGGCAAACTTTTCACTGGAGGCACGTAATAGACCAGTCGATCAAGGCTCCTGTTGTATCCCAGGTCCTGGTACATGTCTGCAAGAGAAAAAGATAGATACGTGTGGATTATTTTGATATTCTTGACCTTCTTTACAGACCTTCGGCTTTCTCTTTTAACGTAGTTTCCCCAGGAAAACTACCCGCCAATCTGGTTCAGTTGTTTGAATGCTTTATAATTTCTTCTTATTTCATTAATCGCATTTATTGTATGTGTGTGTTTTAATTACCGTTACAATTGTGTGTATTTTTCAATTCCAATTCCATCTTAGAAAAGAAAATATTTATCATATATATATATATATATATATATATATATATATATATATATATATATATATATATATATATATATATATATATATATATATATATATATATATATATATATGTCGTACCTAGTAGCCAGAACTCACTTCTCAGCCTACTATGCAAGGCCCGATTTGCCTAATAAGCCAAGTTTTCGAGAATTAATTGTTTTTCGACAACCTAACCTACCTAACCTAACCTAACCTAACTTTTTCGGCTACCTAACCTAACCTAACCTATACAGATAGGTTAGGTTAGGTTAGGTAGGGTTGGTTAGGTTCGGTCATATATCTACGTTAATTTTAACTCCAATAAAAAAAAATTGACCTCATACATAATGAAATGGGTAGCTTTATCATTTCATATGAAAAAAATTTGAGAAAATATATTAATTCAGGAAAACTTGGCTTATTAGGCAAATCGGGCCTTGCATAGTAGGCCGAGAAGTGCGTTCTGGCTACTAGGTACGACATATATATATATATATATATATATATATATATATATATATATATATATATATATACAAAAAAATCACGTTACTATATCCATCTAGATTATGATATACACTGACAAGTTTACCACGCTTCTCGATAGATATACATTGTGTATGTATATTAATAGGTGTATCACTCTACTCGGTGTATATACACTATGAAATGCACCTTTGTGTATATATAGTGAGAGGTGTACCCCGATTCGCGATGAATATTAACTAATAGTATGCTTTAATACTGGACTATACCTTCAGGACTATTGCATAGTTTCCTGGTTGGTGATTAGGCTCTTGTGGTGTACACATGCTGTATCCTGTGATACACACATACATACTTTATCCTTCAACACACATATGTATCCCCTGACTGGCCATGACCCCGCGCTGCATCCTACAGCCAAAATTTACCAGGACAGACGGAAACCGGATATTTATGTAAACAAATCCCAGGAGAACACGAAGGGGCCTACCGGGTTTATAGTAGAGCGTCTTGTAGGCTAAGATGTGCAGGTTGTTGTAGGAGGAGAGGACCTCGCAGGTGTACTCCCTGCTGGGCCTGACGGTGCCAGAGTAGATCACGTTGAAGGCTCGACACTGTGGCTGGTTGTTGAGACACGCGTTCGCACACTGTATAAGCGACGCTCTCTGTAACGGAGAGATTGGTTGATGGGTGAAGATTTAAGTCACCCAACAGGTGGCACGGGCATGGATTGCCTGTATGTGGTAAGATAGCTGTTTCACTCAGGGTGCTCCAATCATCACTCATAAGATCTCTCGCTCAAAGTCTCAGATACAGTTGCCTCATTCAAGTTCAAGTAAGTTTATTGAAAATAACTAGATACATCCCAAAAGGATAGAGAAGCCTAGGCTATTTTTACCCTCATAAGTTGCCTCATTCACCATCATTGTTTAGAAAGGCCACTCCCTCACACCCCCAAAATTAAGAGAAATTAAGAGGTCCCCCCACAAAACCCTCATTATCGCTTTAGAACACTCTCGTTTAGTGAGAACGAGATCCCCCACAATGACAAATCTGTGTCATCTTCAGACCTTATTTTCGTAGCCTAGTGGATAGCGCGCAGGACTCGTAATTCTGTGGCGCGGGTTCGATTCCCGCACGAGGCAGAAACAAATGGGCAAAGTTTCTTTCACCCTGATTGCCCCTGTTACCTAGCTAATTCCTGTTCGTTTCAAGACTCGCTGTCAGAGAGACGGTGGTCTCACCTTCAGCGTCATCAAGACGTTTCCTTCTATGTAGTATCCTACATATTCCTTGAAGGGTAGGTTGAAGCCTAGCACACCGGTCAGCGCGGCCGCCACCACCACCAGGAGAAACCTTAGCTGCCCGCGCTCACCAAGGACATCGTCAGCCATGGCCTCGTCACACCCGGCGCCCTCACACCAGGTACCTTATCACAGCAGGAGATAACGTTTTCTTCTGAAGAGCAGTTTTGTTATTTCGTAAGATCAAGATCAGGACATTAGTGGCACTCCTGCAGCTCCAAGTGAGACGGAGTACTCGACTCAATGATCTCACTAACATATGTGTACAAGTTGATAGAAGGTGAACAACAAATCCGTCTGAACGAGTAGATGGGAGGGTAATGGTATACTTATCAGTGCCAGCGCTGACTGAGAGGATGCCACGGTGCGCTCTCATGTGGCACTGGCTCAGGTGTGAGGGGGAAGGGGGTCTGCGGCCTCCTCACAATCCGCCCGACCTCCCTATTCCCCTTTCCATTCCCCCCCCACCTGCGCCTGCGCACCGGGGGGGGGGGGGAACTCTTCCAAGTGAAAACGTTTCCCCAATATTTGTATATGTTTCTCAAGCATATTTTGCTTACTGGGGCGAAGGAATGGGGAGGAGAAGGTGTAGGAATACTGGAACGTTTGTTGACCAGACCACACACTAGAAAGTGAAGGGACGACGACGTTTCGGTCCGTCCTGGACCATTCTCACCCGATTCTCACGTCGATTCTCACAATCGACTTAAGAATGGTCCAGGACGGACCGAAACGTCGTCGTCCCTTCACCTTTTAGTGTGCGGTTTAGTCAAGATATTTCAGCCACGTTATTGTGACTCCTCGTCTGCACTGGAACGTTTTTCTAATCAAATAATGTTTATGAACTAAAATCAGAGCTCAATACATTCGGAACTACTGAGTAGTACATTTCGCTGCTGTTTTCATCGACATACTGATAAACGACTTTGGTTTATACACAGAGACGGCCGGAGAGTGCGTGTTACTCAGTTATATTGGCGAATGATCCAGTAGGAGCCGGGTTTCGAGTCAATTTTTATTCCTCATAAGTTCTTTGTACCTAAATGTGCTTGAGGATAATAATAAGATAATTACCTTATCTAACTCACTTTTACATATAATTTTAACCATTGTCAATGTTTCCGATTTTCCAAACAAATTTTCCAAACTTTTCAAAGTTAACATAACTTCATAAGCCTTTCGTATCACAATATACTTATTACGTGTATCCCACTATTTTAATCCTCAAAATAAATTGTCACATATATATATATAAACCAATAAATAACACCATGAAAAATCTTCATCATTCGATTTTGCAAAGCCGTGACGTGAAATTCCAAAGTTTTTTCACTTTTCCTACTATTTTCAAGCAAAAATTTGTTATAACATTTCGGTGAACATTCCCATTATTTCGAAGTGTTTTCTGTTGACTCAAAATCCACAGCTGGTGTAGATTTTTGTGTTATTTTCCCAGACGAAACAAATCTTGAGGTTATATTGAAATGATTTCGGGGCTTAGTGTCCCCGCGGCCCGGTCCTCGACCAGGCCTCCACCCCCAGGAAGCAGCCCGTGACAGCTGACTAACTCCCAGGTACCTATTTACTGCTAGATAACAGGGGCATCAGAGGTGAAAGAAACTCTGCCCATTGTTTCTCGCTGGCACCCGGGACCACAGGATCACGCGTCCAGTGTTCTGTCCGCTCAGCCACCGGCTCCCACATAAGTCACCTCTCGTCACAAACGAGTGTTTTCACCTCTGAACTATGTGCTGTAGAGTCGTGTCATATCCCCATTATCTGGATTTAATACTCTTCCAAACTTAGCCCAGTGTGGAAAGCCTCTAAGGGCTTTTACCTACTTCTGATAAGATGGAATGTGTTATAGATGGATAGATGGAATGCCTTGATGGGTTATGATGGAGGGCGATGGTAACCTTGGTGTGATTTTTTCCCACAGTTTACTTTTCATGTCCTTGACACGTCCTCTATGTAGTGGATGAATTTCGTGTTCCGGTGAAAGGGAAAGACAGTTGAATGTGAAGACCCTCTTCTGGACAGAGGATAGGGGGCAAACTAAAATGTTATATTCTATTTATATGGGCCCTCTGGTCCTCCTTGACTACACAGCTGTGGTACATTCCTCTTAATTCCTCAATGTTCTTCTGTACGATGACTGGTTTCTCCCAAGATGTCCCGTGAGTGTGTAATGTGTGTGTGGTTAAGTACACACACCTGGGGGTAAACGCACACACCTGGCTGAGTACCTGTCAGAAATATCCACATATGACGTCAAGGAGAAATGATAATTTAGGACTACATCAAGACCCAAACATTCTTGGCCAGCCAGCACCATTAGTCAGTAGCACTTGTGTGTTAAACTCCACCAATAAGCAGATAGAACAAATGAGCTACGGAAGGTCATGTGTAATTTGCTCCACACACATATCAAACGCTTAATACGAATTATTGAGAAGTCACATGCAAGCTAAACTAAATTATTTCATGCTTCATAAGTACACCAGTTTGGGTTGCCTTTAGTAATTTTATATCAATATCTGCTGTTAGTTGTATCAACTGTATCAATTGAATCAATAACTGCTGTTATTGATACATCTACGGTAACACTCGCTGTAATAGATGCTGTAACTAGTAACCCTATATGCTGTAAAATTTGAAATTGTAATAAGCTGCTCTCGTGGTATCCGTGGATGGGGCGGGCATGTAGGAAAGGCGAAGGGGAAGAAGGGAAAGTGAGGGAGGAAGAGGGAGAGAGGAGGAGGAGGTAGAAAGAATGGTAAGAGGAAGAGAGAGAGAGGTCAACATAATTCCCAGTTAAAATTGTTGCATGCAACATACAAAATAATTTCAGAACTATGTAACATATTGCCTAAATTACAGTCACCTTTTTCTTTAGAAACATTGTGCATAGTTAACAATCAGAAACCCAACCCACACGTCTGAAAAATAAAGGAAGGGACGACGTTTCGGTCCGTCCAGGACCATAATATCAAGTCATATAATGGTCCACGACTGGCCGAAACGTCATCGACGCCTTTGTTTACAAAGTTGTTTGTGTGGGGGTTGGAGGTCTAATTTTCAGACCCGTTATTGTGAGTTATTGTCTGCACATTCAAAGTTGTTCCCTGGGTCCTCATATCCCAGGTCCTCATATCCCAGATCCTCATGTCCCAGGTTCTCATGTCCCAGGTCCTCATATCCCAGGTCCTCTCCCGTCCTCATAACTCTTCCATGTGTTATAATCAACTGGCTTCATGTTGGCCTCCTATTACATGAAGACGCTGATGAGTTAGCCAGAGTGTATTCATTCAACGATGAGTCGACGATAATCTTGAAGTGCCTATGAACAACTCGAGAACAATATTCAGGACTACAAAATTGGATTACAATTTTTTTTGTATTCAGGACTACAAAAAGGCAAAACAAAAATGTTTAATTCGCGGTTTAAAATTGCTTCTTTTAATGTCATATTTTTTTTTTGAGGCTAAGGGTCCTCGGAATTCATTCTCTCTCTTTCTCTCCAAATTTAAAGCGAAAAACGTTCTGCATTACAAGACGGCCATAGGCTGATCGGGGCAGGCCTAAGTTAAATGCTGTAAGAAATATTACAAGTTATAGAGATCATGCAATTTTCATGGCGTCAAGAGTGAAATATTTGGTGCTATTCCCCTAGAGTTTTTATTGATAATAAATGATATATTTTCTGAGAGACCCATACAATTGTTTCAGTGCTTCTTAAAACATTTCTGAGGGAAGGTGTAGAGGGGAGATGGATGGGAATGGAAGAGGGGGAGGATGATGGAAGGGACGAAGTGGAAGACCAACAAGGGGATGGGACGAGGAGGCCAAGAGGGGAAATAGGGTAGAAAGTAGTGAAGAGGGTCGAAAGAGGGGAAAGTGACCCCTGGTGCAGCTAGATATACCCCTTCCATATTATATATAATATGTAAATGTATGTTTGTTCGAGGTTGGAGTAGAGAGGAGGTGAGGGTTGGGAGATGGGAGTGAAGGAAGGAGAGAGGGGAAAATGAGGAAAGAAGGGAGTTGTGAGGAGAGGGGAAATAGAAGAGGGGGAATGTGAGGAGAGGGGGTAAAAGAAGAGGAGGGTGGAATGGGCTAACAACACTGCTAGCCAAACATAACAGGGCTGATCTCATCGAAACATGTAAAATATTGAACTTGAAGGATATTGATCCAAACCACTTCTTCAAGAAGTCATATGTAATACGAACAAGGAGCAACGGATTCTAGCTCAACAAGCCACAATGTAGGACAGAAAATAGGAGAGGCTCCTTCACCCATAAGGTTATAAACACATGGAACTTCCTACCCGCCGAAGCTGTAATGTCAAAACACTGCTACTTCAGTATTTAAGATCCTAATAGGTAAAATCATCAAGACAGATGGGATCTTAGACAAACCGCCGGCTTCCTATACTTGTCGAGGCCAATAGTGAGAACGAGATATATCATCGTCGAGGCCAAAAGAGAATAGTGGTTCTTGTTAATTATAAATGGTTCATTTAAATTATAACAAGTTTGTGCTTAACCCGTTTTCTTTGAAACGGTTGGAAGATTTCGATTTTCTGTAAATGAAGTGTTACAGGATACTCAATAAATATTCGAATAAATAGTATATAGCTCTGCCTCACCACAAATGAAAATTACTTACGGTAAATGCAGAAAATGTTGTGATGCGGTTTTTGGAGCCATTATGCTATAAAAGAGTTTTGATATATATGTTAAATGATGTAACAAGCTCATCAAGATTGCAACATGAGTAGCTGCATGAATTTTGTAACCTCTTCCACTGTCGCTCGCAGGATGATACTAGAAATGTTGCAACATCCATTACAAACAATATTATTAAAGCAAAGAGCAAGAGCTTCAGAGTCTCATTTGTATGAATATCATCTCACACAGGTGTTGTCCAGCATGACTACACAGACAAGGCAGCTAAAACTGCATGTGATAAGCCTGAAATTGAATTGGATAGGACCATTCCAATCTCTGCTGTAAAAGCTGCAATATTTCAGGAAATTAGGGAAGACAGAGAAGCAGTTACTGACACTCATAGGCCAGAAAGCACGAGTATAAAGAGCTATGACATATTTAGAACCGAGAATTATATGTATGAGCAGCATAAAACATCTACTAGACAGTGTGACATTGTAATTGCTAGAATTAGGGTGGGATATCGATATCTATGGCTTGTGGCTGCAGGTAATGAATCCCTCCAATGGTGAACATTCCAATTGTAAGATATGTGAACAAGAGGATGAGCTTGTAGCTCATCCAGAAAAGCGTGAAGTTGCTGTTCAGTCAATGTTGATTTGTTTTTGTATTGATGCAGGTGTTTTCTCCCCTAATTCCATGTATGACTAAGCATCCTGTGAGATGGGAATATTAGATGAACTCATAGCTAGTTTTTTTTATCTACACTGTGTAATCTCTCATGTAGAATAGGGTGGCAGCACATTGCTGTGTATATCTAAGCTTGTCAATTTAATTAATACTAAAAAAATGCGTTTGTTGAGTTCATAATAAATTAACTAGATAGTTTCGCTTAAATTACACAATATACTTCCAGTATATCTTAAATTACATTGAGAACAAACATTTATGCACTATATTGTGTTGTATTAGCACATACCAATGTGGGAAGAAATTATTTAAAGAATCTCTTCCCACATTGCGTTCACATTCCAGAGATATGCAACTCCCTCAAGTGTTTGTTTGGAATTGTTACCATAGTAACCAAGAGTAATAAACTCTAAAACATAGGTACCATAACTAATCCGATACTATATATTAGATTAGAGTTCTGTTTTATATAACTATAAGCAAACACGCCCAAAGAGTGTTGTTGATGCTCTATTGTTAAAACTCTGAGCCAGCTGTATGTGTTTTCAGGGCTTCTGGCGTCGATGAATACCAAAACAAATCTGGAGGTGTTGGAGATGTTAGTGAGGATTGCTTGGCCCTGAGGGTTGGGTTTAATTAGTAGTGACTATGTGGCAAGTTTAAGGTATCGTAGTGCTTGAGGAATATGAGTGCCGCTGTGAACCCTGCTCTGTTAAAGAAGACTCAAGACGAACTTGGAAAACACGTCAAAAAGCCACCACTGACTGATAAACTTTTAGGCAAACCCCCATTTAGATTTTTACATGATATTATCACCGCGGTAAGTAAATAGCTGATTAGTAGTATATATATTGTAACTGATGTCAAGACTGTACACTGCATGTATTGTTTGAGTTAAGTAAATGACAGGTCACTCAATATGCAAGTCCCTAACTTCTACATTAAGCAACTTAACCTGTCCTAGCTTCAACTAAACTATTGTCGACTAAACTAGTACCCTACCTCAACTAACCACTCTAACTTCTCCTAAACTAAACACTATAACATATAGCTAAATGTGACAATGTAGCAAAACCTAATATATAACCTAGGCTAGTCACAACATTTAAATAGCCAAACATAAGCTAACCTAAAGGCTTGGCTTGCTAGGAGGAGAGAGTTAGAAATGGGGTGACCTCATTATGACACCCTTTTGTATAATACTGTACTGTACTTATTTACTATTTATGTCAATTTATTTAGTAACACAGTAGGGAGTTAGGATTTGGCACTTCCAAGATTAAATCACTATCAGTCTGTAATGTGTTCTTCCTAAGTAATAAATACAAAGGGGCATAAAAGCCATTATCAAAGAGGATGGTAATCAGGCATTGCACTGAATAGTTATATTCATATTGATAGCTTAAATACAGTGGTACCTCGGAATACGAGTGTCCCTGTATACGAGTTTTTCGGAATATGAGCAGGATTTGCTCGGAAAATTTGCCTCGGAAGGCGAGGGTTGCCTCGGAACACGAGTTTGTTGATACACGTACAGGCCGACTAGCGCGTGGTGGCATGGCGATCGCGCCTCAGTTTACCAGTGTCTCACGCCCAGTGACTATCCCGCCTGAATTCTTCACAAGGATTTACATTTTTTTGTCGTTTTTTTTTGGCCATTTGAGCATAAAAGTTATTATATATCTAGCCATGGGTCTCAAGAAAGCCATTGGTAAGGTTCAACCTAAGAAAATAGCTGTGAGTAGAGGCAGTAGAGGATGTCCCTTCTTGATTAAGAAAATGTGTGAAGTATGGGAAGAACTGCAAAGTTTTGTTGAAAAAACTCACCCAGATAAAGCTGTAGCAGGCCGTTGCATTGACCTTTTAAATGACAATGTGATGTCTTACTACAGACAAGTGTTAAAATGTAGGGAAAAACAAGTGTCTTTAGACAGATTCTTAGTAAGACAAGCAAGTCCTAGTGGTATGCAGGCAAAACGTGCCAGAGTGTGCACACCAGTGAAGTCCTCACTGCCTGATGTTATAATGGAAGGGGACTCCCCTTCCAAACAGTAACACCTCTCCTCCTCCCTCCTCCTCACCATCTTCCATATGCCAACAGCAGTCATCAGCAAGGGTAAGTAATAACTTGAACATAGTTTTGTAGGTTTATTTAGATGAATTAGGTATAAAATTTAGTTTGAAGTGAGGTTTTTGGGTAGTCAGGAACGGATTAATTCATTTCCCATTATTTCTTATGGGGAAATTAGCTTCGGATTACGAGTTTTCGGAATACGAGCTGTCTCCAGGAACGGATTAAACTCTTAAACCGAGGTACCACTGTATTGTATTTAAATATTGTCACATAATTTCAACATTAATATGAAATTAATTTACTGGGTTTCATGATACATACAGTACTTTAAACAAATATTGCAGTCACGTAATTTACTGGATTAAATCTTTCAGTATTTGCTACTGGGGAGAACTTAACAGTGAGGCCAGCTAAAATTGTAGCGGGCCAAGAAGCGGACAAGACCAATGAATGGCTGCAGGCCTTGGGCAAGGCAATTACACAAAATGTAAGAAAGCTTCTCTTGTTTAACATTTCTTGAAAAATACCTCAAAAAATTTTTTCCCTAAATAATATTACCATTCTGAATCTTCAGTAAACATTTCAGCTAAAAAATTCAGCATGCAGCAGTTGCACTCACTTTTCTCAGCTATTGTTCAAAAGTCTGTTAAGACAAAATAACCTTTTCCTTGTGGCTCAATCCCTTCAGTTGTACTCTTTTTTCACTCATCCTCGTTTAAAAGTAAACAACAAAGTATAGGTCTCCATCAGCTCTCTAAATCTAGGTACTGTAGAGTCAAATGTTTCTAAGTCACTGGATTAAGCAAATTCCAGCTTGTGTGGATTGTATATGTCCATTGTAATTTACAGTAGTTTAGTTATGCCTTTTTATTATACAATTAATTTTTTGTTTCAGGTTGACTCCTCTGAGGCCGTTCAACAAGTGCTCAGTGGGGCCAAGCCAGGTAAAGGCAAAAAACCTGACAAGGAAAAACCAGACAAAAAGCCCGATAAAGCAAAGAAACCAGTGAGTACAGTATTATGGAATTTGTTAATAAATCTCATGCATTACAGGACTGTTCTTGTTGCTGCTTAGTTTTCCACAAGTGAATTATTTATATGGGCAGCTATAAAAGCAATTACAGACTTGGGGTGAGGAATAATTTTTTTTATCTCGAGTATTGTTCAGATGAACTTCTTAATAATTTTTTTTTATCTAGCTTAACACAGATTTACATTTTAGTCAGGGGCCAAATACTGTATAAGGGTAAACAAGAAAAAATCTGACATGACCCATTGATAATATATTTAGTGATCTTCACCTCAATGAGCAAAGCAGATTATGAGCCTGGGTTTTGGTTGGCCTGCGGAAATCCAGAGATCTGGTAGCATTATGGTGTGTCTTTGGTACCAGGTACCAGTGCCTGATGCACACAGGACGGTTACTGAGGGAATAGCTCAGAAAATCAGGATTCCTTTGATGTGGCACTGTTGTGAGAAAGTAGAAGGAACCTATCTGGGCTCGATAAGTTAACGGAATCTCTTGAAAGTAAGAACCTTCCTCATCTTTTCTTGATAGCTTCCCCTTCTTTCTGTGATAAGTTACAGTTTGACTTCCCTGTTCTTAGAGAGAAACACTAATCTGAAAACTGAATTTATTTTTAGTTAATGTTTCATCTGTATATGTTTTCTCAAATTTGATGTGAGAAAGCTTTCACAGCTGAAACACTTACCTACAAATGATGTCTATTCTCAGCTTGGTGTTTCTCTTCATCCTTGTCAGTACTTTATGTTCCATTCAATCTCCCTTCTCTTATGAGGTCATCGTCAGCAAGTTATGTTCCCTCAATCTCCCTTCTCTTATGAGGTCATCGTCAGCAAGTTAGGTTCCTTCAATCTCCCTTCTCTTATGAGGTCATCGTCAGCAAGTTATGCTCTGTTTAATCTCCCTTCTCTCATAAGTAATGGTACCGTGGTATAGTAATTTGCCCTGAATATTAATTGTCGCTTTTTTGTTCCACTGAGGGAGTTAAATTATTTCATCTTCAATTAGTATCATATTTTATAATATAGCATTTGTGTTCATAATGTTTTCTTGTTGCTGATTTTGCTTAGTTTATTTATATCTATGTGAAGAGTTTAATTTTTATGTTCTTGTCTTTTTTTAACATCACTCTTCAAAAGTTTATATACTGCATTTATATAAAGTTTATATAAAGTTTATATAAAGTAAAGTTTATACATGCAGGAGGGCTGGATGAATCCTTCATGTAAGCTTATACCGTATTTTAGATTTGTTAAAATTTCTTATGCTGTTTATTATACTTTTGTTTTCTTACTTTTGTAAGTTCTTGCTTGATATTTATAGGTGCTGTATTTGCAACTTTTAATTCATCATCAATAATAAAATAACATTCCTTTGGATAGTTTTCAAAATTAGTTTAATTTGTTATTTTTAAAAATGATTTATTTGTTTCCTAAAGTTAAGTTAGAAAGATTATTAAGTATAATTTTATTTATTTGCTTATTTTCTGAGCCATTACCTCCTCTGAAATTGCTTCCTTTAGGTATGATCCATTATATCTATAGAGAGGATTGTGAACAGTCAGGCAGAACAACATTTTGAAACCATTACCATGAGGGATTTTCAAACATCGCCACAAGTTCATGTAAGGTTATATTAGGGGGTTACTGAAGATCACCCAATCCGTCTGAGAATGTAACTTGACAGCAGGTGTCTCCTTGAACACTAAAATCATTATCAAGCCATCTCCTGACATCACCAAGACAAGCCTGGCCCCCAGACTGACTTGGGGAGCAGAAGAACTCTCAAGATCTACTCCAGGTATACTCCAGGTATAACAGTGGCCACCAAGAGTAAGCCCCTAACTAATTTCTTGTTTGCCTGCTTGGCAACCTACACCACGCACCACAAGATAGCAGTACCATCTGAAGATTCCAAGAGCTAGAGCTCCTTACAGTTATCCTGATTGTCTGGTGGCAAAAGTGACAGGTGATGGCTGAGGTGTGATAAGGCTACAGTAATTTCTGCTTACATGGTCCACCAAACACATACACACGTGTTCCAGACTCTCCACAGATCTAATTGGCTGGAGCATTTAAATTCTATTTAAGACCACCGTTATATAGGCTAGGTTTGGGTTTATATAGGCTAGGTTAGGGAGCCGGTCGGCCGAGCGGACAGCACGCTGTACAGTACTTGTGATCCTGTGGTCCCGGGTTCGATCCCGGGTGCCGGCGAGAAACAATGGGCAGAGTTTCTTTCGCCCTATGCCCCTGTTACCTAGCAGTAAAATAGGTACCTGGGTGCTAGTCAGCTGTCACAGGCTGCTTCCTGGGGGTGGAGGCCTGGTCGAGGACCGGGCCGCGGGGACACTAGAGCCCCGAAATCATCTCAAGATAACCTCAAGATAGGTAGCTATGTTTCTTATTCAGACCATTCAAAAGATTACTTGATGCTGCTTGCTTGAGGTCTATTGGTGCTCTCTTCAGCATTTCCTTGTGCTTCAACAGGTTCCATGTTTTCTTCCTTATTGTTGCTGTGATTATACAATATCAATCTTCACTTCACTTGGAAAAAGAAATATGTGCCCAATAATTTTGTCAAGACCTTTTTACTCCTCCTTTCCTGTAACTTGGTAAGACCCTTGCCATCTCATGCTTCTCTTGAGCCTATATAGTTGCTGGGTGATTCTCTAGATTGCTTAGTCCTTGCTCTAAGGTTCATATTTCTTGGCAAGCTTAGTCATTCAAATCATACCCGTGGGTGCACGACCTCCATGTATTTGTTTCTTATAAGACCTACTTCTTGGCCATGTAATGCTTGGAGAAATGAGCAATTAGTTTCTGGTGCATCGATTGAAACTGCCGAGAGCTCTCTCATAAAGACTTCATACTTGCAGTACCACTGTGTGGCATTTGGTAGGCCATTATATTGACCTTCTGGTTGCAGTGCTTAGGCTTTTTCCATGGTCTCTCTTCCTAGTGGCATTTATATGGACTTTTGCTGCTTTGACACTGCTCAATATTGCAGGTTAGGTGCTTGGAAAGGGCTTGAGACATTGAGTTTTTATGAATACACCTGTTGGTCATTCTGGGGGTGGCTTGCATGATTTTCAGTGACCACACATAGTGCCTTCTACGTATCTGCAAGGATGTTTAAAAATTTCCTATGACACCAATTCTAAAATGCCGTCCTGTCTGACTGTTCAGTCTTGTCTTGAAAGACATGAAATCCGGCCTTAGGAGGAAACTGAATATTTCTCCTCAGAAAGGTTCTTATCCTTTACAATCAAAGCCAAATACTTTTATTTTATTATTATTATTATTATTATTATTATTATTATTATTATTGTTATTATCATTATTATTATTATTATTATTATTATTATTATTATTATTATTATTATTATTATGATCTTTATTATTAGTATTATTGAGGGTGAAGGAAAGATCCAATATATGTGTATGTGTATTAAAAACCAAATTTTCGGATGTGACCTAAACCTTTCTTGAGGTTCTGTATACAATGTTCTGAATAAGATTCTAGGAGGTTTGCATTTATAAATCTGGCAGAGCACTTCATTTGGCATCTATCATTAGCTGTCGTTGTGATTATGCTTTCCCAGGGACTTAACATGGAATGTTGAAGTTTCAGAAGAATGCTCAATTATCCTGATTTCTGGGAACTGTAAGCAGGGGTCTGAAGAATCATTATCCCTGCTCTGGATATCACAAGGTCTGTGCTTTGTGATGTCCAGAGGGAATTAATGAGATTAATTAGTTTTACTTCGTTAACCACTGCACTGCTCCGCATTTTGATATGACACCCTCGTGGTGCGCTGGAGAAAATTTATTTCCAATTTTTTTTTTTGGCTTATGTTGCTAAGATGTGTTTTCTGATCATGGCAAACTAAAAATATTATATGTAACGTACTTTAACTGTCATGGAGCAGAGAAGTCGATCAATTTATGGGCTCTGAGTGAGAAGGCGCATGAAGATGCTCACTCCAGCGACCCGATAGCGTGGCAGTTGCCACAAATATAATTTTTCATAATTATTTCAAGGTCTCATTCATTTTTTTTTGTTTTGTTTTTGCTGTAATATTATTCAAAAGTGTGTAATTTGATAAATTTATATAATCAAATGTGTGGAATATCACTATGCTCAAAAATATGGTGCTCATGTAGTGACACATATATTACACAGTATTCTTAGATCAATAAAACAGTGTTTTTGCTGTTATCACACTATATCCACACATTATATACCACTATCAACATTTTTATGCACAATAACAAACTAATAACCAGTTATAATGAGTGTGGAGATGGAATCAAAACACAGCATGGAGCCATATGATACGAGCAGATGAAGCCAGCTATCACTTGATGCAAGAAAATGTCTTGGATGTTCTGCACATCTAGCTAAGACTAGCAACATAACTGCTGTTAGTATCACATTCCTGTCACAAAATCCAGAATATGAATCAATTTCCACAAGGTTATATTGTGAAGGAGCATGAGGTCATTTCATGATGTGTAGAGGCAAGAAACAATGCAGGGTGCTGTGTGTGTCTACCTCATACTGTGAATATCATAATTAGCATTATGTTCACTGATATCTGAACGTTGTACATAGTCTTAATCACAGTCGGGATCATTTGTGACACTATCAGTACAGAATAATTGGTGTTACCTATTTTATTCATGATTATTAAGTGGTGCTGCAGCCCTTAGCTACACAGCGGTGCTGTGAGCTCCACCTGCATGCATCAGCCTTGATCGCTGTTTCAGTACTGAAGCTTTCACAGCCAGTAGGGATGCAAATGATTTTTTTCAAGAAAGCATCTGTTTACTGGAGTCCTGAGGCACAGGATGTGAGTCCCGTGTACCTGCAGAAATTTTGAATCATTCCCTATATCTAAAAGCGCTTTAATGCACCATGCGCACCACCTGTCGTGTGTCTTAAGGCGCTATGCACAGTATAATGGTTAAGAATAAATTTCCAGTTAATCAGATCTACTTTACTAAAAGATTTATTGTCCTTTACTGTGTCTATAGAATCTATAATTATTCCTTCTAATAGGCATCTCTCTCTGATATTTCAACAGTTGTTTACAGTTGTATATCAACGAGAGATGTCTAATAGAAGTAATTATAGATTCTATAGAGACAGTAAGGGGCAATAAATATTTTTAGTAAAGCAGATCCGATTAACTGGAAAATTATTCTTAAGGAAGCAAAACTAACTAATCTCATTAATTCACATAAGCACAGGACTTGAGATGTCCAGAGTAGGGATAGTGGTTCTGTGCATCCCTGCCTACAGTTTCCAGAACTCAGGATAATTGAGCATTCTTTTGAAACTTCAACATCCCTTGGCGAGTCCCTGGGGACACATAATCACAACAACATCTAATGATGAGCACCAAGCGAGGTGCTCTGCCAGAGTTATAAATGCAAACTCCTAAAATCATATTCAGAATATTGTATACAGTACATTGAGAAAGGATGTAGGTTAAATCTGAAAATTTGTTTTTTAATACACTTACACATATATTGGGTCTTTCCTTCACCTTCATTAAAACACTACAGCATTGTAGTAAACTCTTCCATTATTATTATTATTATTATTATTATTTTTTTTTTTGTGGGGGGGCAGAGGGTTGAGCCCTATGCATAAGTATCACTGTTCTTTCCTTTCTAGGTAGCAGCAAATAATAGAAGTGTTAAAGATAATGACCCAATTTCAGCCAAAGATACAAAGGTGACCAAAAACACGAAAGTTATTAAATCAGTCGAAGATCTCAAAGCTAGTAAAGATCCCAAGTCAACAAGAGATAAAAAATCATCCAATAATCCCAAAACTACCCAAGACCCTAAATCTAGCAGAGATTCCAGACCAAACCAAGACCCCAAAAAGAACAAAGAACTCAGACCAGGAAATGAGTCTAAAAATGCTCCAAAAGTTAATTCCCATTCTAAACCTCTGCAAGACAAAGGCTCTCCAGTGAAGGTATTCTGGAAAAGTTGTGTATGTTAGGCTTAATTACTGGCTGTATGTGTCATAATTTTCAACATACGGCAGTGCTCAGTCAATATTGTTAGTTTTTCCTATACTAGCCCCCTCAATAGCTTCTCCATTCTTAAAAGCCCTGGTACCCAAGAGACTCTTATCAGAGTAGCCTTCCACGAACCAGGACCAGAATTAGTTTTTCTCAAATAGGTGAGAGAAGTTTGGGGGCAGAGATCCACCCAATAGAAAAAACTATCCCAACAGAAAGGATGGCAGAGTGGCCTGATTTTTTCAGGCCACTCCTTCCTTCTGTTTCTATTTGTGCTCTGTTTCTTCCTTCTCTTTCCTGCAGTGTCAGGGCGTGGCAGCTCCATGTCCATTGCTTCAGCTTTAATTACAGTTTGATTACATATGGACCATAAGGTAGAGGTTGGCAGAGGTTCTCCTTTTCTGTGCATTACAAATCTTCTCGGGACAGTTGTCTTTTTTAATCCTTGTGATCTCGTCTTTTTGGCAACTGACAACATGTCTTATGCCTTGTGGTCTGCTGCCATAGCTTCAGATGCTGTTCCCAAGCGGTTTTCTCTGCTTGTGTGAGGTGCAGTGTCAAACTTATACATGGCTTGAAGTATCTTCCAGCTGGCTGTGTTAAAAGTCTTTCTGTGAGTCCACTTAGTTGCTTTTCCTCCTGTTTGCATTCCTATTCTTTTACTCCTTTTCCTGGAAAAGGTTGCTTTATGGATTTGGGCAGTACCAGGTGGTGCTATTCAGCTGTGCTTAGCCAAGTTATGGCTGTAGCTGCTGGTTCTTGTTCCATCCAGTTAACAGTCCAGTGTCCATGTTTGTTGGACTCTTGACCAAGGTAGAGGTTATGATGTGCCAATTACCCCAGGCACATGTGTAGTCCATAGCATCTTGAATGATTATGCAGGAAAACTTTACATTTTCCTCTATAGATCTTACCATAGTGAGCAACTGAATGGCACAATCTCGACATTTTTCCTTATATGCACTCATAACTGTATCTTTCTATATTTTATGTATATGTACTCTATGTTGCACTTTTGTAGAATAACTGAATTATATGTGTAAAAATAGGTTCTGCTTGAAGAGCATGAGTGTGAGTGAGTACTTACCTAGTTGTACTTAGTTGTACCGTACAACACCCGCAAGCACCTAGTTGTGCTTGCGGGGGTTGAGCTCTGGCTGTTTGGTCCTGCCTCTCAACTGTCAGTCAACTAATGTACAGGTTCCTGAGCCTACTGGGCTCTTATCATATCTACACTTGAAGCTGTGTATGGAGTCAGCATCCACCACATCACTTCCTAATGCATTCCATTTGTCTATTACTCTGACACTGAAAAAATTCTTTTTAACGTTTCTATGGCTCATTTGGGCACTCAATTTCCACGTGTGTCCCTTAGTGAGTGTGCCCCTTGTGTTAAATAGTCTGTCTTTATCTACCCTATCAATTCCTCTGAGAATCTTGTATGTGGGTGATCATGTCCCCTCTAACTCTTCTGTCTCCCAGTGACGTGAGGTTTAACTCCCGTAGTCTCTCCTCATAGCTCATACCCCTCAGTTTGGGTACTAGTCTGGTGGCAAACCTTTGAATCTTTTCCAGTTTAGTCTTAGGCTTGACCAGATATGAACTCTATGTTGGAGCTGCATACTCCAAATGAATAGTGAGTGTGAGTGGGCGTGAGTTTGTGAATATGAATGAATAAGAGACTGAATGAATGAATTACTAATGAATAAATGAGAGACTGAATTGATGAATAAGATAAAATAATGAAAAATAATGAGATAATAAGAGTGACTGATTGGCTGATATTACCCAAGTGTAATTATGAGATAAGAACTTAAGCTAGTGGTGCACTGTCTTCCCGATAATCTTTGTTATGTGATGTACAGAAGCTTACACTGATTTTGGCATTGACTGCTCTCTCATTTATTTAAAACATCCACAACTGTGTTAGCAAAAAAAAAGAGAACTTTTGTATCATTTTTTGGCTCCTTTGTTTTCATATATTGAATCAATGGCCTATTGTTCTTGACGTTGCAGATTTCAAAAAGTCCTCCTTGTTAACTTTGGCTCGTATCCTTCTCTATGAATCACAGCTTGTAGTGAAGTGTGTGTGTGTAAATATTTGTAAATATTTTACATATTTGTAAAATATATATCTATATGTATGTATAGACATACTGCACTGTATATGCAATGTATATATCCTGGAATATATGGGGAAATGAGCAAACTTACTTTTAATATGTTAAAATACTCAAGATGTGTCATAAATTTTGTTTCTAATAATTCAAATATGGGAAATATAAGGAAATAATAATTCAAATACTCAGTACTGTACTTAAATACTGTATAACTATTTAATAGTATACCTTGCATTAATAGTATACCTTGCAATGTTTCAGGGTTCAAAGAGCAGTGATGATAAGGATAAATCGAGTAAAACAAGCAAGAGTAAAAAAGATGAAGGGAGGAGCGCCAAGAGTGCAAAAGACAGGAAAAGCAAGGATGGCAAAGACGACAAGGAAGGGAAGAAACCTGAGAGAACAAAATCAAGCAAATCCAGGTCAGTGTTTATGATGTGTGAAGTCTGATCCAGGTCACTCTACTTAAGAATGAACTAGTAGGCATCCATCAGTCTCAGGAGACTGGAATTGCGCTCTGGTTGTCGGTCTGGAGTGGCCTCTCCAGGGCGCAAATCTAGGGTAGGTTGGTACGGGGAAGAAGCTGTTACCCATGCAGCAGGTCCTCCCCTCTCCACGTTGCCAAAAGTCTCCAATGGAAAGGCATGAGGTGGAGGGGAATAGTGAATAAATTTCAATGTTACTTTCCTTCAATGGAAAGGAACTATGGTAACTGTATAGTGATGGAAAACTGTGTTCATGTTTAATAATAATAATTCATTGTGTTGGGGGACAGGCAGCCAGATTGAATTCATACATGTTAGGCTTATATCGAGGTGCCCCACCATCCCCAAGGTCGAATTACTGACCCTGCCCAGGATGCAACCCCACAACAAGCTGGCTATCTCCTGAGTATCTACTTACTGCTAGGTGAATAGGTTTATTAGGTGATAGGAGGAAATGTGGTTAGCCATTTCTGTCGTGCCTGATATTCAAACCCGGAATTTTTTATTGTGCGTCGTAAACGAACCCGACTGTGCTACTGGGACCCCACATTACTGTGTTTACCCGGCAGTTTACTGCTACCGGGACCCTAGTTTTTCCTATAGTCAGCTGTTAGTACTATAGGAGAGGATTCATTTATTTTATCAATTTGTTTAATAATTGTTTCCATTTTGGTATATCACGCCATGTTATTGGATGATGCAGAGTAATTATTGCAAGTTTGAATTGTTAATCTGCTCACTTATTCATTATATAATTTATTCGGTATCATGGATAAACAAGACCATCACACGAAATGATAAACTTGTAATATCTAATCCTCAAGTCAAATGCAGTATGTAAATAGATATCTTCATTGCCAAGCATGAAATATTTAATCACTTTATTTTATATAATAATTACATTAATATTATGCCAGTAACTAATACCTTTTACATATCATCAGACCAGCAAGTCGTGTGGGCCAGGTAAAGGAGGCAGGGAAAGAAAACTCTCCACCTCACGAGATAATTGATAGTGAGGAGATAATCCCCAATGGACATGCATCTGTGGAGGAAATGGTAGTATGTTCACAGTTTGACACATTGGTTATTTCTGGGAGGGTCCGCTTGGTAACTTTCCAAAGTTAGCTGCCTGATTAGCTTCAGGAAGCTATCAAGGTAACCCACCAGAAAGAGGCATTTCATTATATTCAATGATAGATTTTTCTTGTGCATATTTTATCAACTATGTTTGAGATTCACCCTAATAAGAATTTATTAGATTTAATTGTCTTAAATAATGGGAAATAGCAGCATGTAGAAGCAAAGGAAACTCCTTCCTTCACAGCAAGATCATTTATTTGGAAAAAAGTTCAGCATTTTGCTGTTAACCCTCTCAGCATCTTCCCAGAGCTCCAGTACTAATAACATAGGGCCTCTTAATCCACTATTTTGATCTTTTAGGATGTAGATTACACAGGTTAACCAGACAGTGATCTGTTTTGATTCACCTTCCTTTCTGGGTCCTTCCTTGGTCGATGGCAATTATGACATACTTTAAATGTAAAGTGTTCATAGACCATTGCTCCATGTGCCTCTCTGAGGGGGGGCCAGGTTCTGGCTCATGGCCCCCGGTAGGCGTAAGGACTCCTATGACTCATGACCCCAAATTCGTGTGGCAAATATCAGTTCGGATAGCTTCAGGAAGCCTCCGGGGCTCACCCAGAAAATGTCATTTCATTACCTTCAACGCTGTTTTTTTTTTTTTTTTATATTATAGGAAGCGGCTCCCCGATTGGCATCAGCAAGACCACGAAGCTCCCGACCAGGTAAGCAAACAGTGAGTGTGTTAGATTAGGGGGGATTTTTATTTTTTTATTTTCTTTATTTGCCTTATATATCCTAGTTATTAAATATAATTATATTTATGTTATTGCAAAACAATGCAGTATTGTACATACATATAATTGTGAATTAATGCAGGCATTTTAGTTTTTTCTCCTTATTTACTATTAAAAGCTGTGTATACCAATTATATCGTTATTGTATGTGCTAATGGTAATATATACGTGGTTTGTAATTGTAAATATTCATCTGACTTTCCTCCTACGTTTTCCATTTTCTTATTCCCAGATTTAAAGATGTTTAAGACTTATTTAATTAAATATAATACATAATAGACTGTTCTAAGCAAGCTCCCATTGGTAACTTCCCTAGACTTCTACAAGAATCTAAACAAGAAGCCTTTCAAATCCATTCCCACTGCCTGTGTGAGACCATTACTTGAGTATGCAGCTCCAGCATGAAACCCACACCTTGTGAAGCATAAACAGAGACTTGAGAAAGTTCAGAGGTTTGCCACTAGATTATTACCAGAATTAAGAGGTCTAAGCTATCAAGACGGGTTGAGAGAACGTGGCTTCACAAACTTAGAGGGTAGAAGAAACAGAAGGGATATGATACTATGTACAAGATCTTGACGGGGATAAATAAAGTGGGTAAAGGAAGCATATTTCAGTTAAAGAGTTAAAACAAGGGGACATCGGTAGAAGCTGGACATGCAATTGAGTCAGAGAAGTAAGGAAGTTCTCATTTCCTGTAAAGGTGGTGGGCATGTGAAATGCATTGAAGGAAGGGGTTGTTGAAGTCAATTCCATCCACAACTTTAAAGAGAGGCTCTAGCCCCAGGGACACAGGTATTTTTCCAACAGTGGTCGTTCTAGCTGTTAATGGGACAGGGAGCTTAGTGGAGGGCATTTCTCAATTCAAAATTGCGGTGACCTCTTGGAGACTCAAAAGGTGCCTAGTTAGATTAGATAAAATAAGTTAAGATGCTTATTCAGATACAGGTACATATATTGTAAATGAGTTACAAACATAATGTTTGATTAATAGATAGAGTTAATACATACGATGCCTGAAGCCACTAATACACACAGCATTTCGGGCAAGTTTCCTCTGTACCTACTGAAGCAACTGAACCACCACCCTGTTGCCATCAGATAGCATCACCAGTGTACACCAAAATTAGGATGCCAGCTCTTTTTGGCTGGTGCTTGCTGAGACTTCATCCACCTCGGACAAAGTCCTAACTTAGATAAGTTCAGTGTAGTTTTCTTAACAAGACCAATATTAAGTCTTAGTGTAAGGGTCTTATATTGAGGTGTGCCTCGGCATTGATAGTGCTTTTTGGAGATTGGCCTCCTTGCTGAGGCATTTGTAGGAACCTGTTACAGTACTGTAATTAGAAAAGGCCAGAGAACTAAAAATCTGAGAACAGAATCCAGACCACACTTATGGTCTTCTGCTTTGCCACAGGAATAACCACAAATCCCATTAAAACCGGCCAAAGGGCAGGCAGAACTGAGAGACCATGTGAAGCACAGGAATGTTGCTCCCCCCCCACCCTCAATAAGTTATATGGAACTACACTGCCAGGGCCTATGGAGGAATTGAGCACAAACTCTGAGGCAAGTCTCACTCGGCTGGGACACCAAGAGAGCCAGGGCATCCTTTCAGAAGCTTCTGGGGTCAATCTTTGGCACCTATTCCTAGAACTGAATCTCAAGATGAGAAAAAAAAGAGAAAGCTGTAAATATCAAAAAGGGCATTTTTTGCTCTCAGAGGAGTAATGCACTCCTTCCACAGATTGCAGGGAGGGCATGATGGTTCTAGTATCTCTCTGTATCTCCAGAACAATTATTGTGGGTAGGGTACCCCAAAGCTTCCACCTCCAGACAAACTTCCTGCTGGTGCATATGTGACTAGAATCTTAGGGCATCTAGTAACCACACCCTGCAAAGGTGGCTGTAAGACTTTGTTGACAGCAGCCTTGCAGCCAATAAAACAATTGGTCAAACCAAGACAAGAACAGCAAAGTGTTAAAATTTCTTATATATCTTGAGGACTAAACTTGACCTCATAAACCGAAGGAGAATGCTAACACTTTCCATCAGCAGGCACGGTAGTTCGCAAGCAACTGTACAGTAGTACTCGCCTAGTTGTACTTGTGGGAATTGAGCTTTGGCCTCTCAACTGTCAATCAGGATGAGAACTGCACTCGTGGTGTCCCATCTTCTCAGTACTCTTTGTCATATAACGCTTTGAAACTACTGACAGTTTTGGCCTCCACCACCTTCTCACTTAATGTACAAGTTTCTGAGCCTATTGGGCTTTTATCATATCTATACAGTGGCGCCTCGATTAACGAAGTTAATCCGTTCCGGCACGGAGCTCGTCATGTGGAAAACTCGTCTTGCGAAACAACAACAAAACTGTCATCGGAGGACGACAGTTTTGTCATCATTTTGTAGTTAACCAGCGGGAACGCTTGTTAATCGAGCGAAAGCTTGTCAGTCGAGACATATTTTCTGCGAGTGGCTTATTCGTTACTCGAAATGCTCATAACTGGAACCGCTCGTCACTTGAGGTTCCATTGTATAGTATTTGAAACTGTGTATTGAGTCTGCCTCACCACATCACTTCTGTAAGTGAGCCTGCATCATCATAAGTCACATTATGGGAATGCAGCTCGGCCAAGATCACAGTCTCATGTTGGAAAATTTCATACTCATGAGGATGAAAGATAGCTAGAACCCAACAAGGGGATAGTATGGTGTAAGGCAGTCAGCATGCAGGAAAGAAAGGCACTGGAGAGTTAATAAGCTGTTGACAAATATGAGGGGTAGATTGCGGGCTCACTACAGCCCGTGCTACATGGACATTTCGTTCTGAGTAGCTATATCTAAAACAACAACAACATGTGAAGGATTGTAAAGTTAGCAACCCAGGCCAGGCATAGCTAAACTACCCTGTATTTAGTAGTGTTTTCATTCTGTAATTGAACATTTTATTTAGTATTATTTTATACATGGGAGGTTTTATTTATTATTATTCAATATAATAGACAACAATTATCTGTTAGAGAAATGAGCAGGTGGAAGGAATGAGGTAAATATAACTCCTATTACAGATGACCTTCTGGCCCTTGCCTGTACTGTAGATGAATATTTCAGTATTTAGAGACATAAATTTATGCTGTTGGAATATAATATTCCATATCAGTGATAAATCACTACGGATGAATGCACAGAGACCCACATTAAATGGTGGGTACAATATAGGGATTAATGGACAGATCTATGCATAATGAAAGGTGGAAGGAGGGATAAATGAAGAGAGATGGACACAGATAGACTGACATCCAGATTGAAAGAGAACTAGATGGCATGATGGATGGATACATTGAAAAGTGGATAGATAGGAGGGAAGGTTGGAAAGATAGAACAATAGAAGGATGGGAGGGTGCATATGAAACTGTGGGATTGTATGGGGTTTTAGCAGTGTGTATGGAGGATGTGGGAGGCTGTGTCGGGTGTGAGATTGTGTGTTTGTGATGGGGGTTATTTATATACTTTACATTGGGCAATCTACAGTGATATAGAACTGACTAGGTTGCAGTAGGAATAGATCATGTATAGATCGTTTAGGGATCACTGGATCCTATAGTGTTGGCTGCAGCACTCTTGGTTAGGGTACACTTATATGGATCGTGTAGGGGTTATGGGGTCTGTGGTACAGTATTGGTTGTAACTGTGGGATTCTATGAGGGTAAATGTGTGGACATGTATGGTGGAATGTAGAAGTGTGTGTGGGGAGTGTAATGGTGCATGGGAGTACTCTGTGGTGTGAGGGGACTTTTGTGGAATGGTACGGGTGTGTGGGAAACAGATCTGCACAATTTTGAGGGTAAAACACCAGCGTACAATTATAAATATAATATAACAATAATTCATCTTGGTGTATAGATGGTAATGAAGAACCTGAAGATGTTGCCGAGGCAATAGATGAAGGCATAGTTACACAGGAAGCTCGTACAGATGACTCTGAGGTTGCCCCTCTCCCAGAACCATTCTTTGATACACTGGATAATGAAGGTATTGCATCTCAGACCATAGGTGGAACTGAGTTTACTAAATAGCCACACTCAATCCATTTAAAATATAGATGCACAAATTAGTTTAAATAAAATATTTAAAAACTGTACACTGCCAACTCTTTATTTTACAATTTATATAAGAAATTATAATAATAATTCTATAAAATACAATGGGTACTTCTTGAAATGTCAGTAACACAATTCTTTATTGATATTTTCTTTGTTATTTATATACAAAGCTATGTAAGGTGTCATATATACTAGTATAATGTAATACTGTAATTAGAATGTGAATTTGTGGATTCAGCATTGTATCTCTCATGAATTTTAAGTCTATGATGCAGTCACATATATTTTACATCCCTGTTCTTTGGTTTCCATGTTTTGTGTAATATGGAGTTGGCAGTTTATGTGCATGTAAAACAACCATGCAGTAATTACACAACTAATGTCGGCTTTAGTTCAGTATCGGCTTTCTTTTTTTTGGATTGATAAACAGTGGCTATTAATTATATTCACATTTGTGTTTTTCTGGTGAGCACCAAATTTTAAAATCCCCAAATGTATTATTCTGCCCTAAGAAGAATGGCTAATTCATCCCAAACAATATCCAGCGATCCGATCCGAGTCAGCACGTCTCTTGGAAGATTGCTCCCATGAGGCACTAATCTCGTGCACACAGCTAAATATGTTCTTCTCCCACCATAAATGTGACCTTTCCTGTGAGCCTGCAGCTGTATTCACTGTATTCTGAAGACACTTGTATCACTTTCTACATGTATCTCTCAGGTTCACATGTCATGGTAATATTGAATTTGTAATATATGTATAAACTTGTATGTATAATGTGCATCCTTTTCACAGTATTGCACTGTTCTCACTACTTTCTAGCCCCTTCCCACAACACAGTGTTTTTAAACAATTAATCTCTGCCTGTTTGTTGTTTTTGCTGTTCATAGAATTTACAATATACTGTACTAAAAAGGTGATGGTGATATTTCAGTTCAGGAAGAAACTGGACTAAGAGTGTTGTACTTGTACAATAGTTTATGTTTAAATTTGTTTATCTTTAAACAATAACAGTGATGTAATTTGATTAACGACCTTAGTTTACTTGGAAGTGACTGAAATGTTCAGTGTGTGTCATAAGTTCTTGACCTATACACCAGGAAGTAGAAATTTCTGCAAGGATTATTATACTCTAGATATTGAGAACAATATTGACAGATATGAAGGTATACACACATTTATTATGATCTTATAACAAGTTATTTTGATTCAGCAGACATGCATATTGTGTACATTATATTTTTTGTGTCATATATATATATATATATTTCAGCATGTACATCTTATTACATTGTATATTGCATTTTATAATAGAAAAATAGGAACTAAATAATTTCTTCAATATCTCTGCTAGCCCATTTTGCTGCTGGATGGGGTAGGATCCATTGTGTTCATAAGACTAGATCATACAGGGAAGCAGGTCAATATTATAACACAACAGGGAACTTTGCAAGTTGTCTTGCAGAGTCAATAAGATGCTAGGGAGTTACTGAAGATGGATATACTTACTAAACTCTAAGAGGATAGTTCTGTTTGTTAGCTGTGCAGTTTTAAGTTACTTTTGAGTTAATTGGTAAGTTACTCAGAGTATTCATACATTGAAATGAGTTATGGTAAGTCACATTTGCTATTCCTTGTAAGTGATCTTTAATAAGAACATATGTGAGGCTTAAATGTCAGTTCATATGTACTGTATTTATAAAAGATGTGACTAATTTCATCTTGGTACTGTATGTAGATGGTAAAGAAGCTGCAGCAGATTTAAACGAGGCAATAGATGAAGGCATTGTCACACAGGAAACTCGCATAGACGAGTCTGAGGTGCCACCTTTCTCTGAACCATTCTTTGATACACAGGACAATGAAGGTATTACATCTTAAACTCTAGGAAAATTGTGTGTTCACTGAATAGCCAAGTACAACTCATTTAAAATGTATAAAGTAAGAGTTGTTCGAATGAATGCAGTTGAAAATTTAATTTAAGAGTACTTTAGTTGAATTTGAAAATCTAAACTATTTTCATATTATTGCTAAAGATTTGTGTAATCTGTACACTGCTAACTCTTTGCTGAAGTATTTTATGGCACTATTTCATTCAAATCTGATTGTGAAGTGGATCAAAATATTTGTTATTTTGGCACTGCATATTTCCACTTATATATGAACATATAAGCCATATATTTATTTACCAGTTTATTATATTTATGTAATAAGTTCAAATGTATATGTTTTTGTAATACAGTATAGGTATGCACGAGTTAAAATGCAAATTTAATGGGTAGGATAATTTGACATAAAATTTACCTAGATGAGAGTAGACTTTATTTTGTAGATGAAGTTTTGCCTGTAGGGCCATTACTCTTTATCACTGTCAGCACTCTGCGCTCTCTTCAGCTAATATTTACCTCAAAGTCTTTAATGTGGGTTTACTTATGCTACAACCCTACCCTTTGGATTCCATTTTTTGTTGTAAGTAGTTGGCAGTGTATAATACCATATATGAAAGTAAAGAACTGGACATTAAAGAGATAGCATTCACTGTTAGTTTTAATTGAGTTAAACTATGGCTATTAAATATTTTCACCTTGTGTTTGCTTGTGTGTTTGTGTGAGATGAGCACCGGGTTTGGAAACAAGCATATTTGTTTTTAACTTTGTTTTGAAGAAGGTTTGCTGGTTCATGTGACAGTGTCAGCACTTCTAATCCCTCCAGTAAGCTGGCAGGTTTCTCATTCACATAATTTGATAATGTGTGCCTCTGCCTTTCGCTCAGTACATGAGGTAGAAGTTCCCGTGATGATAAATGTATCAAGATCTAGTGACAGTTTTGCTAGCAACTGAACATGATTCTAACGTAGTCCTTTACAATAAAATTTTGATTTGACTCATGCCAGATATATATATATATTTATTCATTATTTATATTTATTTATTTATTTATATATATTTATTTATATATATTTACTTATATATATTTTATTATATTTTTATTTTTTATTTTTTATTTTTTTTTTTATCTGAGAAAGTTAAAGTGTCTTCCCCCATGGGCCTTCCTCCTCTTTAGGGGCATTGCCCCAGATAGTGGATGAGGTTTGGCTCCTCTGTAAGGCTTGGTGATTAGTGTAGACTTGATTTACATCTTTCTCTTACGAAGGAAAACATTAAGGGACACATTCCTTTTCAGCTCTGTTCTGATGGCAGCTTGTCTCTCTCTTCGACTAGTTTTTCCCGGTTGAAGGTCAGCATGAGTTTTTCACAATGCAGTTTCCCAACACAAGAACTCTTTGGAGGTAAAGGCTTTCCAAGCAATGGCAGCTAATGGGACAGGCCATCTTGATTTAGATTTTCGAGTGCCCCTAAATTGAGGAGGAGCACTGGACACTGTGACTGCTGGTTGTGCTCCCCACCTTGTCTTCGGTTTATTCAGCAGGGTCAGGCCCCCTGCCTTTCCTAGAGCTGTGCACCTGTTGTTTCATCCTATATTCAGTGGGGGTCTCTAAGATGGTATGGGGCATCGAGGGCCTCATCCTGGTTTTTTGGGATAGTTGTGAAATTTTGATTTTTTTAACCTGCTCATCAACTATAAAAAAAAAATTATTATCTTTGTACATGTGTTTCACTGCATTTAATTGACAAAGGAGTAAGATCTATGGATACAAGATGAATTTTTACATGGTCAAACATTTATCTCAAATCTTCACTCTTAGGTCTCCAGTCAGCTGTGGAAGATGGGTTGATGATACCTACAGGACCGGAGTCATTGATTCAGCTGGATGGTGATGTTCAACAGGAAAATAATGGTGAAAGTGAAGAACCACCTTTAATATCACAAACACCTGTTGGAGAAAATAAAGATATTGACCCAGCTATCCTCAAAGCTATGGCTCCAAATAATGGTAAGATATGGACAATACGTAATTATATTCATAGCTACAAATGACATTCTCTCTCACTCAGACATAACCTTTAGTGATAAGAGTTTCTTACTGTATGTAGAATGCCTGTGTTGAGGCATTTAAAGGGCCATAGCCAAGTCCTGTAGGCCACTGTGTTAGGATGGTATGGTCAATTGTACAAAATCATACAAAAAAATGTGGTGAAGATAGTGCATAAGATTGAATTTGAGAGCAAGAGGAGTAAAGGTGGGTATAGGTGGCAGGTCTCTGCCTGAAGGGTCCTTTGCATCCCACTGTTGCAGGTGGACAGACCCCACTGAACATTAAGTGTTAATAGTGAAGCCTGGTTGATGGAGAGGTGGGGGATTGCCTGCAGGTCTTTACCATGACATGATGGATCAGGGATTCTTTAGCTTGCAGATGGTTGCTGGACGTTAAGTCCTGTCCAGGACAAGTCCCTACATTGTCAACACGGCAGTGACTCGATAATAAATTTGTATATCATTAGAATTAGCCTATTTATCACTATCTGTTGTAGAATCCCTATTTACCTTGGGGTTCTGCAGAACCTCAGTTAAGAACTGCTGCTCTAAGATACACTACAGTAATAGCAACCCTGAAGCTCATAGATTGGGTCGACTTTTGCATGGGTTGCATTTCTTACTGCTTTGGGCTTTTATTTAACAGACTCTTTTGACTGATCTGGCTCACAGGATGCTTGCCAGACTTTCAGTATGATCTCTGAGAGTTTTTTTAAAGCGACTCATCTGGCCTCTCGAGATTTTGTGTTGGCAATGCTGGGCAAGTTTGGCTTTTTGATCAACAAGTTGAAGTCCTAACTTCAGTATCTCCTCTGATTGGGGCAGTTCTAACACAGAACTGTGACAATGGCTCTCTTCTGGAAATGGCCTTTGCTTGGCTTGTGTCCCTTCTCTTGTTGTCTTGGATTTCTGGCATTTCTCACATTTAAATTTTAAGCACCTCCTGGGTAGTCTAAACTTTGTCAGTATGGTATATTTCCTGGCTGCATATGACTGAAATCATTGAAACTTTCTCAATTTTTTTCATGTTATGCCAACAATACAACTCAAATAATGTACTCATGTATATTTTAAGTATTAACTAAGGATCTATACAACCTTCAAACTCTCTGTCTATGTGAACAAATCCACAAGGGCCGTGACGAGGATTCGAACCTACGTCCGAGAGCATCCCAGATGCTATATGTATATATATGTCATTGTATTAGTTTAGCAAAATCATTTTTTTTCATAAGTATAGCAGTCATATATGATAGCTCTTAAGACTTGTCCACAATGTTGAATAATAGATTCCTTGTAAAACACTACTGGTACAATTTATTTACTAATGATGTGAACTCGGCAGCATTATTCAAAGTGTATATTTTTATTTATAACTATATATGTGCTTCATTACCTGAGTATGTGATGGAGCTTGAAATGATTGGTTGTTTGGCTTCTGACTGGGTAATGCATAAGTATTGTTGTTAAAGATTCGCTACCTGGATCAAAAAGTTCCAAGTAGCACGGGCTATGGTGAGCTTGTAGTGACTATGCATAAGTAGCAATTTCTTTATTAATTTATCACACCAAGGAATATGCACTCATACCCAATAGGCTTGAATAATTTCTTGACATTCAGGCTTGAAATGTGTGTGTTGCAATTATTCTTTGCAGCAATAATAATAATTATATAGTATCTATAAAGAACACATACTTTACTTTGTTGGGCCTAACCCATTTCCACCCAATTCATTATTTACTTAAGCATTTGTAATCTATAGTACCGAGTGTTGTAATAGTTTTTAATGTTAACATTTACTACTTTCCATATGATATAGAATTTATTGCGTATTCCAGACCAGGTTCAAGGGGATGGGCAGCTAGGTCCTCCACATCCTGAACCTCCAGATTCGGGTGTAGGATCGCTAGATTCCCCCAAGCTTCCTTCAAGAGAGCATGAGAGTTTACCCATGGCCCCAACCCCTAAGCCAGGAGCACAGCCATTAAGAGCATTGGAGCAATTTGGTGACGGACTTCCACCTACGCCACCGCCAGCTGCACAGCTGCCTACATTTGATAATGAGTAAATTTATTCTCTTATTAAAACATAACGGTTAATGTTTCTTTATGAGCTTCAAATGGCATTTCTACTGTCACAGGAATTTAATTTACCTGAATTTATCAGAGGGCCACAATCTCTAGTGACCTCAACAAGGACAGGAAGGTGGAGGCTTGTCAAACATCCCCCTCATTATTCCTGATGATTTTTTTTTAGCGGAATTTTGAACTGGAGCACTGTTTTAACATTTACAACTTTGACAGAAAGGTAATTCCATGGGTTTATTTATTGCCCTATGAGTGAAAAAAGCACCTCCTGTTTTGTGTCTTCCATTGTGGCTTGCAAACCATGATGCAAGTGCCCTGGTCAGTCACCGGGAGCCAGATTTACAAAGCAGTTATGCTAGTACTTACGAACGTGTAAATCTTTCCTCAATCTTTAACGGCTTTGTTTACGTTTATTAAACAGTTTACAAGCATGAAAACTTCATAATCAACTGTTGTTATTGTTATAAACAGCCTCCTGGTGCTTCGGAGCTCATTAACTGTTTAATAATTGTAAACAAAGCCACCAAAAATTGAGAAAAGATGTACAGGTTTGTAAGTGCTTGCATAACTGTTTCGTGAATCTGGCCCCTGGCTTGCATTGACAGCTGCATTGAGCCTTGGCCGAGGTCGATCCACGGATATTCTGATATTCCTGTGAGACCTGTAGAGCCTGATAAGATAAGACAAAGACAAATATTAGGAATCATTAAGCTGCATAATTCATTGGCATCAGCTATAGGAGTGAGCTGCATTATAATGACGAGTAATGAATTGTCGTATATAATAGTTTTCTGGAGGAACTTTCTCTCGTGCACAGAAAGTGGGATTTTTTTTTTTTTTTTTGCATAATCTACATGGCAAATGCTCTAACTTTTCCTAAATGATCATCAATATAACATGAGAAACAAGAAAAAACATATATAAAATTGAAAAATTTAGATTTTTAAATCTGCTTTAAAAATATTAAATATCACCAATTCTTCATTTGGTGTTGTTGTGGTCCGAGAATAGCATATGATCTTCATGTGTATCATTGTAGAATATAGTTTGGCAGTATAGTTTATTGTAAAAAAATTGTCAATGTGGCATTTTAAATATGCACCAAATTTAGACGAAAAAAATTGATAACTCCAAAAGTTTGGCGTTTATGAAAAATCCATATGATGACATTGTAGAACAGACAGCCTTGCACGTTATATGTGAAAATGGTAGGAATCAGTCAGAAACTTGATTTTTGAAGATGTCTCAAAGTTGAAATTCCTGTTTTAGAGATAATTGAAGTTATCGACCATGAATATGGTAGTTCTAATTTATTAATTTACTTGTATGTTTTAATAAACATTGTTTGGCATTCGTACTCGAATATATGAAAGTTGTAGGTTGAAATTAAATGAAATGTGTCGAAATGAAGTCAAGAGAAAAAATACCCCCCCCCCCCAAAAAAAAAAAATTGGGATAATTATAATGGGTTAGGAGATATATATGTATACTTTATATAAGTGATAAAGCCCTAATCTGGTCCCCATTCAGCAAAACAACCTAATGAGACAAAGAAAATAGTGTTTGAAATCTGTGAAAAAATTGGCCAAAAACAATTCAAAGTCACAAGTTCTGCCACCTCTGGCTGATTTACCTGTTGACAAATTTCGTTCCAACTTCACATACTTAGTGACTGGTATGCATTCTCCAAGATGTAGAAACCACAACAAAATTAAATAAGAGACAAAGGAGAAAAAAAAATCACCCCCCCCCCCAAAAAATGGAGGACATAAGAAATATTGATATTGGGCATTGTATTTATACGATAAATAATAAAATACAACAATATAAAATACTTATTCATTATTATTTGTGTGAAATTTTGCCCTCCAGGTGGCAATCAACAATCCTTGAAGGCACCAGCTGCATATCCACTTTGTGGACCTTCTTTACTACCACTCTTCTTCTTTGTGCGTCGGACAGGTGCTTGCATCTCTTTCTCACTGCATTATTTATGAGTTCCACTAACTAGGAGATGTTATTGTTATCATCAGTAGCAGTTGCGCACTTTTTTTTTTATTCATATAAAATCCATTTCTTTAACATATTGGGATGGAATTTTCACGACGTTGATGCCAAATAACGTTAGATTTATTTAACATTTTATACTATATTTCATGTGTGGGTGAATATTTTTTCATTTCACGTCCCCTTAAGAATTTTAAACAACTTTACAGAGAATATCCTTCAGGAGATACAAGTGTGCGACCTCGAACTGGTAGACGCTCAGCCCGACCCCCCAGTGCACGCCCAGCTCCTCCAAAAGTTCGAGAGAGACGAGAGATTCCCAAGGAAGAGTTACAACGCCCTGGCACTGGTAAACCAGTTGCTAATGTCATCCTCTCCTCTGGTGCTGGCGATGATGATGATGATGATAATTTTGTAGTTGAGGAGACAAAACCTACCGTGGTCATGGATGAAGACTCGGTAAGTTTTATCTTCAGGATGTCGGAAAAAGGTTTGAGTAACCTGATACTTAGTGCATAGTAAGATCACTGATAGTCAGAAGTCTTTTTTAAATCTGTCCATTTTCATTAGATCAATTTTCATACAGTTTTTTATCTACTAAAAAATAACTTCTTTAAAACCAAGACATATTGTTCATAATATATATTAAAGATTTTAATATAAATTCATTTATCTCTTGGTGGGGGTGATCCCTTTACTCAATTTGTTCCCTTTTGTCACAATTACTGCCAAATACAGTATGTATGTACTCTTATCCCTATTGCTCATGCTCATCTAAATCCTTCTCTTGTGAGTTTGTCCATTCATCCATCCATTATCGTCCATTTATTACTTTCATCACAGCACAGAAAAAATTTGTTAAATATGTTGAAAGGTTATTTAAAATATCACTTGTCTGTTTCTTGTTTCATAAAGAAGATACAGCATCATGGATGAATAAGCACTATTGCACTCTAGTAGCCATTTAGAGTAGTACTGTACTGCATCATAAGACCAACTGTATAGTGCTTCTCGCTAATTGTCATATACAGTACAAGCACATTCATGCCTTTCTTGAATGGCATGAAAAAGATCAATTTCTTTCTGTAGTTATTCACTTGGAGCCTAATGGGATGTTAGTGTCCAGCGCAAGGTTTAGTGTTTAAAGCTAGTTTAGCCTCTAAGTGTCATGTTTAATTTCAGTCCAGGTGTTTAGCTTTCGAGTGTCTTGTTTAACTTCACTCCAGGTGTTTAGCTTTCGAGTGTCACATTTCAGTGGCAACTACTCTTGCCACCGTTTTATCTTACCAACAAGTCCCTATCATTATTTTATGAGTTTGTGCATTTCCACACCCATTCTTGGTATTGTACTTGATAAGTTCTTTACATTTTTCAAAAACATTTAATGGAATGTTGATCTGGCTTTTTAAACAGAATTATTACTTTTTACAACACTTGTATAAACTTTCCAAGTAGGTAACTTTTCAAACTATTAAAAATTGAGAAAATGAATGTGATGAATAACTGAAAACAAATTTTAGCTCAATTATAAAATGCATACTTTTGCCAGCTTTCCATGGATGCTGCAGCATCTGGTGGTGCTGCAGCAGCTGCGGCAGCAGCAGCAGCAGCTGCAGCAGTTGGAGAAGATGGTGAGGGAGCAGGTCTTCTAGTTGCTCAAATATTAGAAACCAAAAAAGAGTTAGAAGATGGACGTCGTAATGCTTTTTCTCCTGAGACACCAGGTCATAGGCGTGTCCCAATTGTGAGTACTAATCCATTAGTAGTTTATATATATATATACAACATTTGTATACTGTACTTGGGTAGCAGGTGTTCCTTTTAGTTTAATATGACTGCATTGCTAGTGTTGTTGATCTTATAGTGTAAGCTGTCTTGAGGTTATCTTGAGTTATCTTGGTTATCTGTCTATGCTTCTAACTACAGTATTTTCTTAGTATTAAGAAGAACAATGAAGTTACCAAAATTCCGGGTAAAGAAACTCTAATAATTATTGAAAGATTTATTTTCTACAACATTTCGTTCCTCTCGGGAACATCTTCAGGTAAAGAATGAATGCACGATGTAAATCTTTTGGTTAAACACACACGTGAAAGAGTTGAAGGAATGTGGGATGAGGTGGAAGGGCAATCAAACATTGGGTAAGGGGATAGGGCCAGTAATGCAGGGAAGGTGGGGTAGGGCCAATCAAATGAGGTAGGCCTTACCCAATCAAACATTGGGTAAGGCATTGGGTAAAAAACTGATGGGCGTGAAGATCTTGGTAGAGACGTCATTATCTGGTAAGGTTTGGTTAGGTCACATTCACTCCTTCGACTCTTGTGCACATGTGCATTTAACCATAAAGCTTACATCATATATTCATTATTTACCTGAAGATGTTCCAGAGAGGAATGAAACAATGTATAAAATAAATCCAGATAAATAGTAAATAATTACTAGTTAATTTACCATGAATTTTGGTAACTTGATTGCTCTTCATAATTCTGATACTAAGAAATAAGAAGCATACATATATATGCAAAACATACCACATTGAATTAAAAAAGTTTTTATATAAACCTTTGAGGTAATTATTTTTGTGTCAATACAGTTATGATTTTTTCCTGTGTTCTTTTCTAATTTATTGTCAAGCCATGTTACAAGAGGAAAACAAGTTCCTTGAAGCATATTGAGACATAATGAGCTTCTGAAATATTAAGATATATTTATCAAATAAATGTGTAGGTAGTATTTCTTGTTTTTGTTGTGGAATTTTAATATATACCCGGTAATTGCAATTTTGTGTATCAAACCCATGTAGATAAAGAGTAGTAATATAAAATGATTAACCGAGCAACTACAGTACCGTTCATCTCGGTTTGTATTGTGGCGCAAACTGGCAGCGCTTGCCTGTACTGAAGAAGTTTTCATTTTACCACAGGAACAATCTCTCTTGAGTGATGCCAATCGGAAGAAAGAAAGAGAATTAATCCAGAAAGATGTAGCAAAGCTGAGCAGTTCAATTCAGTCCATAACTAGATCTGTAAATCCATTAGGTAAGTCTTAGGAGTAAATAATGTTGATAAATAAGGCATTATGAACATTATTGTATACAGTATTGATAAGTTTTGCTGATTTTCTTCCAAATCTTAAGTAATCACTTTTCTAGCAGGCAGTTTGAAGGTTATTGGTACTACAAGTGCACATGAAAGTGTCTATAAGTCACACTTAGCTATAAGTATGTCTGCTAGTCATTTATACCTGGCATGCTAATTACCTCTTCTCAGCATTATTGTTTTCATCAAATTTTGTCTTTGATGAAAAACAGATAGAATTGGCTTCAACGACTTCCTCCTCCAATGCATTCTACTTGCTGACCTTGATTGTACAGGAAACAAGAACTTCCTTACATCTCTTCAATTCAGTTGCATGTCCAGCTTCCACCGATGTCCCCCTTGTCATACCTCATTTTAATTTAAATAGGCTAACTTTGTCCACTTTTTCTTATGCTCTTCAGGGTCTTGTATGTAGCACACTTCCAATGAATGTTATATGTAGTCCTATGTGTACACTCCTAATACCATATATGTATTAGTATTAGGTAATACATTCCCAATTCAATATGTACTTGTAGTACCATGTGTACACACATACAGTGTCACCCGTACACACCAAGTATCACCTGTAAACTCCCAGTATCACCTTCAAAAGTCATAAAGAAAAGGATTGTAGAATATTTGGGGAGAGTAAATTTTATAACAGAGGCGCAACACAGCTTCAGAGAGGAAAAATCATACTCGACAAGCCTGATTGAAGTCTATGACAGGGTCACCAAAATAAACAAAAGAGAAAGACGGTTGGGTAGACTGCATTATATTTATTACTAAAAGTAAACAATGTTAAAATTTAAAATAAACATTAATTAATAATGCTGGGTCAATCCAAATTTTCTGCATATATTTGACATTATGGGTCACTGTTCTGAACTTCCAGTTATAATTCCAGTCTCCAAATCATTCCCGATGTTTAAGGTTTCCATTATTTATGTGGGTTTTTGAGAATGCGCTGTACGGTCATATTTAAATATGTACTGTACTTGGAATATATCATGCATGTTAATATAAAGAACTCCATAGCAACATTCATGATCTACAATATTAACAAAATGCTATCTTCAGAAACTTGATGAGGGACCACATATACTATAGGAAGTTTCTCAAAAAGTTAGTCATTTTCTGTCTTATTTACTAATACTTCACGTCCACTTACTTACAGATCTTTCTTTTTATAAATCATCCCACTTCTCTCAATCATAATCCTTCCCATCTTTAATTCTGTAGTGCATTTTCATCCTTATAAATAAATGACTTGTCATTTACTTACTGAATAAAAAGTATTACCTCTTCCTTACTCTGGTTGTTCTCTATCTGCTGAAGCAGACTCATTTATTGATATACAGTACTATGTAATAATTTATAATAAAATATAGAAACTTAAAAAACTCTTAACACTTTCGCGCATTAACACTTTCTAACATCTTACAGCTAAGATGTTAGATTACCTGCAGGAAGACCTTGACTCAATGCACAAGGAACTGGAAATTTGGCGTAATGAAAACAAACAGTTGACACAGACTCTCAAACGCGAGCAGAGGTACAGTACAATTATAATTTGTATGTGAATGTATTACTATTATGAAGCTGCTGCTGACATAACATATATAAGATGCTTAAGAGTAACCAACAAGTTATTTCCACCATATGCAGCATGGCAATGTATGATGAGGTTTTCCTTCAAATAACTCACAAATGAGTCATCAGTGTTAGGGTGGTGGTCATACAGTAGAATGCTTTAGAATTCTTACAGAATAATTTTGCATATTGAAAGGCATTGCTTATCAGATACATGATCTTGACTGTTTTAAGATAATTCTATCCATTTTATAATTTGCCAATAATTAGGTATTTAATGCATGTAAAATAGATATTGTTTCTTGGTTATCACATTATGATGGTCTTTAAAGTAATTCTTTTTGTCTTCGGAACAGAATCGTGCATAGTCAGATAGGACAAAATTGTACACTTATGTAACCTCTTTCCCTGGGCTATATGCTCTTGTAGTTCATTTTAAAATTCGGCCTACATCTTTTAGGTTAGGTTAGGGTATAGCACTAAGTATACTTGCTTTGGTGATGCTTGTGATCGTAAGCAGAACCTGCTCTTCTAGTGTGTTTGGTTTCCAGTTTGATAGGAATTAATCTTTTCTCTGTTTAAGTTGAATTACAGCTCTATGCATACTTGCTTCTGCAGTATTTGCTCGTACTGGTATATATAACCTGCTCAACTGGGGTGTTCATTTTGGTGATTTTTCCTGGATTTAAGCCTCCACTGGTTAAGTTTAATTGGGGTATTAAGCGTAACTGTGCTTGGTAGTACCCGTGCTCATTTCTAAACACTGCTATTCTGGGGTGTTTGTTACTGCATTGCCCCAAATTTTGTCTACATTTATTTTGGTTTAAGTATGGCACTGGGAGTACTCACTTTAACTGTTCTTGTGTTTGTGGGGGAATATAAGCGATGTGTTTACTTATAGTACTGTGAAATCAGATATTTACTTGTGCTTTTCCAATGATTGAGACTACACCTGTTCTGGTTTGGCTACTGCGTTGAGCACTCTTGTGTTGTATTCACATAGTTGTGCTTGCAGGGATTGAGCCCCTTATGTAATCTCTTTGTCCTTGTTGTGTTTGTTTTCTGTTGTTGTTCCTTTACCTGTTTGTGTAACCTGTTGTTCTGGGGGTGTTCACTTTGACATTTTGTCCTGGGCATGAACCTAAACGTATTTAGTTTTGGTTCTGGTGCTAAGAGCTTTCACTTCATCAGTACTTTTCCATATTTTTTATGTTTGTTCTTAGAGCTTCATCCTAGGGTGAACATACCTCTTTTCCGGTTTGGTTACAGTGCTGAGCATACAAGCTTCATTGGTGCATATGTTTATGTCTATATCTTGCTCTCCTGCAATGTTTCACTTCAGCAACTGGCCCCAGAATTGGGCTAGTTCCTTGGCATTTTACCCCAAAATTGCACTACACCTGGGAAGATCCAGGTAACTTTTGCTGAAAGTAATACTCTCTTGGAGGTGCCTGTCTGGGCTTCTCCCCAAGTTGCTCATTTTTGTGTTGGGATCAGTTACATTACTGTGAGTACTAGTTTTAGAAGTCCTTCTTATGTAGTAAATACCCTGCTTTCTTGTGGTGTTTCCTTCATCAACTTGCCAATGTCTTCCACTTTTACCTGTTCAGCTCCTTTATGCACTGTGGGTTCTTGCATCAGCAGAGCTAGCTAAGCATGCTTTTGTGACTCATTCTTATGGAGTCTTCAGTAGTTCACCCAGTCTTTAAGTGTCTGGCTGTTTTAGAGCTGCAGCTGTCCTATTTTTGCTGTACTAATGCCTCAGTTCATGACAATTTTTGTCTGGGATGTGGACTATTACACTTTTCCCTGCAGTCTGAACTAACACTAGCATCAGTTCATGTTCTCACAATGCGAATGCTCCATGCATGTCTTTATTCGTTGTTTTCTGTGGTTGACAGGGTTAGGCTAGGGCCCATTGCATCTAGAAATCTTTTAAATGGTTTTCTGCTTCCATCTGTGCAGTGGAGCAGTTTTCCTGTTTTCTGTTCTCAGTTTTAATTTGCTTAAGAGTTTCATCTCTCAGCTTAACATTTCATTTGCCTTATAATCTGTTCTTATGGGGTGTTCATTTTGATTCATTTTGATTGTTGACCAGACCACACACTAGAAGGTGAAGGGACGACAACGTTTCGGTTCGTCCTGGACCATTCTCAAATCAATTGTCAATCGACTTGAGAATGGTCCAGGACGGATCGAAACGTTGTCGTCCCTTCACCTTCTAGTGTGTGGTCTGGTCAACATTCTTCAGCCACGTTATTGTGACTCATCTCCTTCATTTTGATTCATTTGCCTTGAAATTGCAGTTGCTACCCTGCTTCTCTTCTGGAGCTTGAGTTGGATTTCATTTGCCACTCTAGGGTAGTATTTCAGACTATTTGGATGCAGTTGTTGGCTGTAGGTTGTCTTTATGTGTGCAGTCTTTTGCTCTGGTGTTTCATTGTAGGGAACAAGTAGCTTGTTCAGCTTTTTGTGGTTTGCCTTACTCAGGGTGCAGCTGTCCATGCTGTCACCAAGCCAGTTTCTGGCTAGACTTGATTCTCAGATGCTTCCTCATTTGGGTGTCACATTCTGTATATGCTCTTTATTACTCTTGACCTTTAGAATATAACTCTTGTATTGCACCTTTCCCAGCTTTGGTACCACACCTAGACCGTAGTAAAACTGTGTCCCTTCTGAACGCTCATGGTTGCAGTCTCTGCTTTGGCATTCGTTTAGCATTTGTGTACAGGGCATACAGTACTGTGCACCATTCTGTTTTGCCTGTAGGTCATATTTGCCTTACGAATTCTTTCCTAATATATTGAGTGGTTTAAGCTTCAAAATAAGACACTGAATGCAGATGAAAAGTTTTTTTCTAAGCAAGTCACTTGGTTGCTCCAATGCTGTCCCTTTATTTGTCCCAACTTATCTTGTGTTTTTTTGAGTCCAAGAAAGGATGTAGATGAAGTGGCTCTCAAGGCTCCTTCTGTTGATAATGGGTGTAGTAATATCTGGTGGCATATTTGAGTAGTGGGATTGTGGCCCATTAGCAGTTTAAGCAGTCTCTTTGAATCCGAGTACAGTATAATATATTCCTTGGAAGATATACAGTATTTTAAATGTAGAGAACTAAACCGTTTAGAGATATTTGTAATTAAAAAATCTCCAGTGTTTCCCTTTCTCCCACTCATAACTCTGCAAGGGCTTCTTGAAGAGATTGTTCCTGCACTGAGGAAAATTGCACTGGCCAGGCTGGATTTTTACTATGTCCTGGGAAGGGCTGGACATTTCCAAAGGAAATGACCAACTTAGAATGGAAATTTTCAACTGCACTCAGTGTCTTCTTAATGCTATAATATTATTATTATTTTTCTATTTATTTTGTTATTTTTATTTTAGCTTGACAGAACATGACCTGGAACCTTTGAGATCTCAACTACTTGAACTCGATACAGCAGTTCAAGACCAACGAGATAAATTGTCTGCCATCAAATCAAACATTTTGAGAAATAATGACAAGATATCAAGGTTAATGGCAGGCATAAATCTGAATATATAGTGTAGCATATCATAGGTTGGACTCATTTTGTTTATACAGAATATAAATGTATATAATATTTATTTCTTCACTGCATAATCTCTAGTAAATTATTGTCATATATTTTCTTAATACTGTACAGATATATTCAGTTGATTGAATGTGAAGTTGCTAACTACTAGATGAGTATTTATTACAGATTTATTTATATAACATATGTAGTGAAGGTAAATAGCACAGTTTAGTTTAGTCACCTAATTATCAAATATTTTGGAAGAATATGATAAGACAATCTAAACATTTATGTATTTAAATTGGTTTTATTGTTCCGTGGTATGGACAAATGTAAAAAAGTTTTTAGAACCACAATATAGAGAACGTCTTTCTGAAGGAGGAGTTTGTAATGATTAAGACAAAATAGGATGAATGTTCCAACAATTTTATGATAAAAGGTAGGCTTGGGACAATGTACGAGTGTTTCAGTCCAGTGTGAGGTTTCCGAGAGACCTCTGTGTGACTATCTCGAGACTTGTGAAATAATGTTATCACAGACTGCATTGTCTGTACGTGATATGGAACAGTTCAAAACAGAAAAATTTCCATAGTCGTTTATGGTTGATACTGCAGTATCATTTATTCTTGTTTTTAAGTGTTTTGAGTAGTGAATATATGAAATGTGGTCAGGCAACAAATAGTTGTGTCAGACTACTGATAGAAAATTTAGGAAACACACACCAAAAAATATATTATATATATACGTAAACACACACGACCACATGATTTCCGGATGCCTCAGGACCGAGACTGAATGAATAACTGGTGCAGCCAGATACACGGCAAGTCATCCTGAAAATTTAAAGGAAAAATCAACAATTTTGTTGATTTTTCAACATTTATGAAATTCTCAAGTATTTTACGTTGTACTAATATGAGACATTCTGGAAGTCAGTGTTAGCATCAGTGTGGGGGTGTTGAAAGTGTCTATGGGTATCTGGAGTGGATGTTGGGACTGACTGTGGGTGCGGGTGCATTTTTCGGTGTGAGTATATGGGTATTGGCATTCACATGTGGGTGCCTGTTTATTGGTTGGGGAAGTGGTGTCGCTGGGTAGGTGTTGATTATGGGCTGGGAGGGTCGAAGGTGGTGCAGTTGTCACTCAAAAGGATTTGACAAAATTTAAGGCAATATATGATGTTACATTATCCTACAGCCAATATTAACACTTGTACTGGGTGAGTTTGGGAAGGGAAGGGGCTGAGGGGAGGGAGAAGAACAACAGGAAGATGTGTGATCGTCATCAATCTGTTCAGTGTTGTCTCTCCAATTTGGCAGTTTGTGGCACAGAATCTGTGCAGCCTGTTGAGCCTAACAGTTTATCTAGACTCCCAGTTCTTCTACCCTAACAGTCCATCTAGCCTAATGAGGCACCCCCGATGCTGACATTTTTGTACCATGCCTGCACTTCACTTTATCACACACTTTTATTCAGGCCTGCTCCCCTCTCCTCACCAGCTTGTCGCACATTTTTATTCGGACAAACCCAAAACGAATAACAAGCACATCCAGATGAGAGGCATCCGGAAAGCATGTGGTCATCTGTATATATAAATAAACAAGATACAAACATGTCCATTCTTTAGGTACCACACATTAGATAACTGGAAGTTTTGGGAAGTAACTTGGTTAAATTATAGGATTGTTCCTTGTATTTTATTGCTATTTAAAATGCCTTTTAAATGTTTAATTATAAGTGTTTAATTATTAATTATAATTAATTATAATTATTTTAGTCAAGAAATTTTTGTTTAATTTCTATAGAATAACAATCTGGTTTTGCCTCTTAATATATTACATTGAAGTTGTTTTTAATATAACATTGTGGCATATTTGACTCCAAGCAGCCATATAAATTGCTATCATAAGTTGGACATGTTTTATACTACTTCAGGGACCATGTGAAAGCATTTTAAACTTAAGAGTTTTCAATACCATAGTTTTATCTGTAGTTTCAACACAGTGCAGTACTGTACTCTGATATAAGTAATCAGATCTAAAAAAAAATCATCATTACTTTTTTGAAGGGGCCAAACAGTCGCTCTCTGAAGAAAACTCAATGCACACGAGTCCCAGTTGGCTTTCTTTTCCCTTCTGCCTGTGACTGTTCCACTTGCAGTGTTATCTCTGATGTTAGACTGACTTCCCCAGGTTACTTCATGGGTGGTCAAGTCAACTTTGCCTACGTGGTGTTTTTCCTTGGGCAGGGTTTGGCCCAGTTCTGGTTCTTCCAGTTCTGCTCTTTTTTGGCACCGCCAGGTAAACCGGATTCAAGCTCTATTTGACTTTTGCCAACTTCCTCTTCCGGCTTTCAAGATTCAGTTCTCTGGTGCCTACTTATCCTGTCACTCAATGTGTTCACAGATGCCTCGGCCCTGGGCTGGGGTGTTGTAACCAGTGCCCACAAGGCCTCCCAAGGTTGTTGGTTGGGTCCTCTCCATTGGGCACACAGTAGGGTGCATGAATTTGCAGAGGTGTGGCAAGGCTTGTGGAGAGTTTGTCTTCCTTCAGGCTCTATTCTCTGGCTCCATTCCAACTGATCTCTAGTGGTTCATTGTCTGAATCATAGTCTTACTGTCTTTTCCTCTTTGGCATTAGACTCTGCAAGTAGTTCAGGTTCTGGATTCTCAGGGTCTCTTATTTCCATCCCATTTCTATAGAGTAGACTGTTGATGACACATTCTTTTGGTAGCTCCGCAAGACATTCGGTCACCCCAAGGTCACTCGGGCCACTCCTGGCTTGAAACTGGCCACTTCCTTGTTATGTACTGTAGCTCCATTCCCCAACCACAAGGCTCTTATAGTGGATGTTTTTCAGTTAGATTGGTAAAATTGGAGGTTCTTTTACCTCTTCCCTCCAGTTCAACTGTTCCTCCAGGTGATGTTGAGACTGGAGGTGCATTTGGCTGAATTACCGAGGCCACTTAACACCTTAGTGGCCTCGACGAGGACAGGAAGCCAGTAGCTTGTCAAAGGCTCCCCCATTTGCCTCAATCTTTTCCAGCTAGATTTTAAAATTTAATAGGCTTTATCTCATACTAGCATCAGAGAGCCACTGAGGCCCAATCAGAAAGAGGCATTTCATTACATTTACTGTTTTTGTATACAATATTAGGATAATTTTTAGTTGTAGCATAAGGGTCTGGAATACCTTGGGCCCTGATTTTAGTTCTGGATTATTCTTAAAAAGTCTTAATGTTACGATCTCATTGGTATTACTTGCCCTATTTTTTTTTTTTTTTTATGATTTTATGTAATGTGTTCAATTTCATTTGCAAAAGTATCTAAAAAATAATGGAAATCGCAGTTCACAACTCAGAATCCAACGTGGATGACATATTGAACTGAAATATATTATACAGCTTATCAGTGGATAATTTAAGCATGTCCTATCAGCTAGTGGCAGGAATGTTAATTATTATACATTATTGTAAGAATGTTTATCAATATCATAACTTGATTGTGACCAGGTGAAAAAATATTAAAAAACAAACCATCTGGTGACCCCTATGTCTGTACATCTGACATAGGGGTGAAAAAATAATTAGTACAGTACTGGAGATACAGTATACAGTATTTAAATTTTTTTTAATCGAATTGCAGGTGTTCTGTTCGAATAACTTTTTATATTAATGCCATATGAAGACTATTCTGTCATTTAATGAAAAGCTTTATAGAAATTAAATTATGGATTCATATTGTGTTAATTTTTATGAAACTATTAATCACTGTACAAATCAAGAAGCTTATTGGTCTATTGTGTATTCATCCAATATCTAATTGAAATAAAATACCACTGGTTGGTTTGTTGACATGCTGTGTCTAGAGAATAGATACACTTTATTTATTCATGCAACAATTTTCATAGTAAGCTAATAAAGTTTTTAAATTACATATGATATTTTTCATTCTCACTAGGAAGTGGATTAGGATTACATTTCAGGATTAAATTATACATTATTTTGTCCACTGAAAATTTATAGTCTAATTTACAACAGTTGTGCTTAACGTCACTTACCTGTTTCTATAAATCCTTTATGGAAAAAGTATCGTGGAGTAGTTTGCTTATATTTTTCTACGCTTACAAACATTATGCACCATATCCTGGCTGGCCTTAGTAGCTGTGGAGCTCAATTGGGAACACTTTTTTGTGGGGTCCCCAGGTTCACAGCCAAGGTCTGAAATGATGTATTAATATTAATTTTATTTTCTGGGGGAGCCTCGTCATTCATCCCATTGACTGTCTCAGTTCTGTGCCATGTGGTGTGGACTGTCTCTACCGGTGGGGTGGGAACCAAGAGTGAGATCCACGGCACTCGAGCTGCATGCGCCTAGGGCTCTCTTCCCTAGGTGCCCTGTAAGTACTGCTCTTGGGACTTGTGGCCACCTTCCCCAAGTCACCTTGGGTTCTACCTCCACTGTGTCCTTTACTGCTCGGTACTGGGCTGCCCTTGGAGTTGACTTGGGTTTTGTTGCCCTTGTTTGTCTCTGGGTAGGTGGTAGTTTGTCCCTGGTAAGGGCGTGGGGTGCTGCACAGCTAGTTTTCACCAATAACAGCGGCCGGCTCTGTTCCGCCTGGGTACGTTGTCCTCTTGCGGGTTTTTTCTTTTGTTTTTGCCTGGTGGGAGGGGTCTGCCTTTATGGTCCCCCCTTCACTGTTCTAGGTGTTTTTCTTTAGATATTTTCTGTTGGTGGTCCTCCCCACTTGGCCCCCGTGAGTGGACACGTCCTGGGGGTCCAGCTTTTAGAAGCTTGTTTGGTAGATTTGGGCACCGGTTCGCAGTACCTTGCCTGGGCTTCCCTTAGTGTGCAACCAAGGATACGGGCCCTGGAAAACCCCAAGGGAGCTCCGTGGTCCTATGGATGTGTCCCGAGTTCCCCCTCGTGTATTGCGAGTTTGACGGTTGATCTGTCCCCCCTTGTCTCAGGGTGACACTCATCGGTTGTGTCTCCACCATGCTGCCCGTTGGGTCGTTGTTTCTTATGTCCCGGAGTCGTTCTACAGGACATAAGCATATCTGCCACTTAATTTTGGATTTGCTTGGTCATTTTAAATTCAATTTCATATAAATACTAAAGTTGCCTCGATGTGGACAGGAAACCAGCACCGAAATGGTGGCCTACTCGGTAATCCTGACTTGCATATATAAATTTACCAGGCCTAATCCGTCCACCAGAAGGGGCAAGTAATTATCAAAAGGCACCAAGCCGGGAAGAGAACACTGCACCTGGATGAGGGAATCATCCAGGTAAAGCGCAAAACCATTACAACTATATAGCACTTGGAAGGGCTCAGGGCAAGGATTGGGGGGGGGGAAGAATGATGCCTAACCACTTTGAGACTGAACGTCAACCTGCATGAAAAGTGACTGTCGCTCTGTCCACCCCAAATGGTTCGGCGAGCCACAGATATTTAAGATTTCAGCGTCGGTTAACAGGAATGCCTTAGGCAGTAATGTAGAAGCAGAAGACAACAGTTTGAAATGTAAGTATGAGAGCCCAGTAGGCTCAACAATCTTTACACCAGTTGATCGACAGGTGGGACCAAGAAGCCTAAACCTCTTCAAGCACAACTAGGTGGGTATACAATCCTGAGGGGTGATCTAGGTACCCATAGAATAGGTCCTGTTGAACACTCGTGCACCTTCCCACAACCAAGTATTTAACCAGGCCAGTTCAATGTCATCACAGTATAACTGAAAACAGCCTCTGCAGACCAGTGCAACCTCTTAGGTTGCCTTCTTGTGAAGCTAATGAGTGGTTTCATTGCTCTTTTTGAAAGTTTATAAGAGTAGGTTAACACTATAGTAGGGCTGTCCTCCCGAGGGAGTAGACACTTCGTACTGTCAAGTCTTGCTTTAGAGAGAACAAGAGTAAGTAAGTAAGCAATTATCAAAAGAAGGCACCAAACCGGGAGAGAACAAGAGTGCTTACCATCCATAATAAATGTAAAGTTATAGTGGCATTACTAAATGCAAGATGTGAGGAAGGTGTTGTATGGAGAAGGGCAAGTCAGTCTACTTTGGAACTATATTCTGGGATCTATGAACACCAAACTATACCCGATCATCCGTGTTGTGGGGTTCAGGATAGCAGCATCATCAAACGGCCTAGTCAAGAGACCAGGCCGCGAGAACTTTGTGCCCAGCAGTACAAATCACGTTTAACTAAGGTAGGATAAAATTCCAGTGCTTGAAGTAGCAATTTAGTATTGAAACTAAGTTAAAGTCAAGAATCGGTACGAGGTATCGGAAAGCGAGTTCTTGGATCAGAACTCGCTATCTTATGCTACCCAATTTCAATATATGTACCTAAGCCATACGCCTTCACCATTGTAATCTTTGCTATCATATGGTTGTTATATTGAAAGCACATTTTACTACATTATACCTTTAATTAATCCTCAAATTATGCTACAATATACCAGTTGATAACCCTCAAATTTTACTTTAATGTACCTATTAAATCTAAAATGTTTACAATGAACCCATTCATTTTTCAGATTTTGCTTTAAATTACCTACTTCATTTTTATCGGTAAGATTAAGGACCTGCCCAAAATGCTGGTGTTAGTGGCTTTACAAGAATGTAAAAACATCTCAAATGTAGTACATCTATGTACTCTCAAATCTAATGTACCTTTGTATATTAAAAAACTACCAAACAAGTGGTGCCTGACATCTTAAATTTAAGATTTGCCCCGAGGGGCAAATTTATTATCCTGTGAATGGACATACCGCCATAACAGCATGTACAACACTCCCCAATAGGAAGAAAACCCACTGGGCTGTTCATCCTGTCACTTTCACCCAGACACAGCTGGGACTTTACCACAAGAGAACAGCTTCTCAAACGAGAATATTAACATTGTCACCTCTTAAAATCTTACGATATTTTACGGGTGCAAAATGGGGGGGATAGGGGGGGGGAATCTAGGAATCTTAATGCCATAACAATGGTAGATATGCTTGCATTTTAGAGGCAGTTCTCAATAAGAGCCTTTTCTTCCTTTTAGCATTGAAAGGCTTTATTCCCAATTTCAGTATGCTGCACCAGCCCTGCCATTGACAGATGATCCAACAATGTATATTCGATACAATTAATTTCCGGCTTTATTTATAATGCATCGCTTTATTCCGGCATTGTAGATGATCAGTACAGAGACCGTCCTTGTTGCCTTCTCTTGTCTGTGTATAGTTAGCCAGACTTGAGGACGAGAGTAAGTTTACGTTAGGAATGCCAGGTTTAAAATAGTTAATATTGTAATTTTTTCTTTTAACGTTACGTAAATGCAGTTCATTTAGCTTTCGTTAGACACTAGCAACCTATATCCTATGTCCCCTATATCCGCCCACAGGCTGGATATAGGGAACAACTAGTTACACTGTTAATGAGGTCCACTAACCACCCATATGATAGTTGTTGGGGTCCATTACCCTGAATATAAATAGGAACAGCCAAGTATGGACTGGAGATGCAACTATACATAAGCTTGGGAGGTCATTAACAGTGCTGGAACATTGTAACAAAGGAGACTGTAGTAGCTAATATTAGTGTGCAAATATTTGAGAAAATTAATGATTAATAATTAACAATGTTATCAATTTATGAAACAGATTGACAAATTAAGTGTAAGGTTTATACAATTTTGTAAAATGGATTGTCTAGGTAGTAACATTTGGAAATCTTATATTTTAAGTTAATCTCGTGCGCGTGCGTGTGAGGGGAGGGGGGGGGGAGGTTAAGTGAGAGGGACAGGTAACCTTAGGCCTTCTGGGGTCAACGAGAGGGGGGGGGGGATGAAACCCATCCCAAATCACTCATTTGGATTCCACAAGGACGAATTACTGACCATTCCCAGAATGCACGAACTGTATAACAAGTGGATTGCTTTGGTAATTATTAATTAATATTTTTTCCATATATTTAAATCTTGAGAAATCGACTAGTGCGACTCTAAGGCAATTTTACGATTAATATCTGACAAGACGTTATATAATTAGCGTCGATTAAAAAAAAAAGGGACAGGCATACTAAAGATTAACATATCCTAATTCAGGGTTTATAGAAAATTACTAGTTACCCATTATTAGAATTAAATCTCTAGCCTGAATTTAAGTAGTCATGTTATTAAAACGGTTCAAATTTAGTTTTGAATGTAGTTTTAACTGGTAACCCCATTGTACACTTACGAAAGTCAATATATATATTAACGGAATTCTTAAGGGTGAAGCCAGACGTTAAGGGCTAGCCTCTAGCATGATACAAGGTGGGTAGAGGAGCGTCACTGGCCAGTTTGTGTCTGCTATAGTGCCACGCAGCATTATGTGCACTTAACCTAACCTTCGATTCGTAAAGGTATACCCGAAATAATGGGTCTTCCCCGCATAAAAAGGGAGGGAGGGAGGGGGAGGGGATGGGGGCTGCAACAAAGAAAGGAAGGGGGGGGGGGGGGGAGCTGCAGCAAAGGGAGGGAGGGAGGGAGGGAGGGGGGTATTCTCCACATACAGCTAAACTCCAAGAGACGAACCTGGAACTGGATACCAAAAGTGAGATAAAACCACACTGAAGTGTTTTTTGTCTGATCGTCCCTTTTATAACCAGCAGCCAACCAAACCCGGCTGCTGATTGGCTGACATTCACCTTAACACTCACCCCCATTGGTTAACATTTTGCGAGTCTGAAGTATCAATTAACAATGGCCAACAGCCACTCCTTCACTTCCTCAAATACGAACGTGTCTCTAATGAACCAATAATGATCCCCAGCTTGAATGTTTGAAGTTGTTAATTTCAAAATCTAATTAACAGACCAAATCCAACATTCTATTGTAAATATTGCAACAGAACAACAGGTACAATAGAGCAACATTTGCAATAGAATCGGCAATTAAGT